ACTACTACTACTACTACTACTACTACTACTACTACTACTACTACTACTACTACTACTACTACTACTACTACTACTACTACTACTACTACTACTACCACTACCATGTGACTACTTACTACTTTGTTGATTAGTGGCGGAGGATACCTAGTATCTAGGTAGCTACTATCAGATACTCAATATAGAGTAATTTAAAAACACAGAAAAAGTTGTAGCGTGAAAAAGAAAAATCATACAGTGCCCATGTAGATTACCGGTCAGGTATGCCCTGGCCTGGCCTTGCCCTGTATCAAACCACTGGCACATCCAAGATCAACCCTAGTACGTGATTCTCAAAGCTCGTGTGAAGACAGCAGTGAGAGTACCGGTGACGCGCCTCAACTGCTGCAGCCGCAGTAGAGAAGAAGCAGTACTGATATAGGAGAGAGGTTTATTGCCCCCTTACTCGGCCCAATGCAGCATATATTTCTATTTTCTATCAAGGCTTTCTGTTTTCGGCGACACTACTAGAGGAGTGGCGAGCAACTGAAGCAAGCACGCTTGCTGCAGAAGACCGCTGCTGGCCATGACGTTTTCTTTTCTCTTTCTTCGATCAAAAAGCCATACCAAATAATCAAAACCGACTGCATCAAAACCCATACGATTCGCTTTTGGGCAGCTTCATGCCCTTGTCGTACAGCCACTTATAATTGAGCCCCGGCACGAATTGAGGACTTCTAGTCCCCGATGTCGGTGTGGGCGAAGCGGGTGATTCAATGCTCTCCCGTCTTGCATTCGGTCTCTCACGCAAACTCTGCGAGCGACTCAGTCCGGAACCAATGCCTGCGCCCGCGCCAAAGGACGAGCGGGCGCTTACGCCGAATTCGGGATTCTGGTTGCTGACAGCCTTGTGGAAGAGTGGACTTCCCGATGGGGAGAACGTAGTTGTTGCAGCAGCAGCTGCAGCTGCACCAGAAACCGAGCGACGCTGAGACTGTGAGGGCGAAAAGCCGAGCCGAGAAGTCGACAGTGGTGAGGACGAGATACTTTGTCGGTCAGAGCCGATGCTGTTGGGAGTGGGAGTGCCAGTGGCAGACCCGGAGGCCCGTCGATAGCGCGGAGGTGTGATATAACTGCCCCCAGACGCCGGACTCGGCGGGACGGACGGGTCCAAGCCCAAAAGCAAGCGTTGCGACGGTGTCAATGGGATATCGTTGATTTGGTCCTTTTTCGCAATATAAGGAATCGCAGGGCGGAGGAGCAGGATGATGTTTGCGCACAGAACCAGGCGGAGGACTAATAATGCGTTTGAAGGTACTTCCAATGCACTGCTGACACCGGTAGACGCAAGGAGGGGTGGAATACTGCGAGCATATTAGTCCCGTAGGAGTATGGATGGATAGGGGGTTTCCCGTTTCTGTACATACCTGCTGTAATATACATCACTCAGGACAAAAGAAAGGATCAACGCGGCAGCATTGGTCAGTGCTCCCTTGATGTTTGTGTCTGTCAGCGCCGCCGCCGAGCTGCGCTTGATGATTTCCGTGGTGCGAGGGTGTCTGAATCTTCCTGGCGATTCTCTATACACAGGTGCACTGCTAGTGGGTGTGGAGGGCTGGACCTGGGGCTGGTTCGGTCTTGATTGTGTTGTTGTCGTCGTCGTCGACTTGGAGGAAGGCGGCGTCAGTCCGAGATCGTGTGCTTTGTGGGCGAGATAGTGTGTCGTGGCCGAGATTTCGTGCGTCACCAGCTCGCGGGCGGATTGAAGGGCAGAATCGGGCTTCGATCCCGTCGGAACCAAGGACGTGGCGATTGTCGACATGATTAAGGAGGAGCGCTTTGGTAGTCAGTCAGTCTGTTTGAGTTGCATGTGAACGAGACGTTCTGGTCGCCCGACTTGACTTACCCTGTTCATGTGAGCGTAAAGACTTACCTGTGGCCAAGTTGGATATGACTCAGGGAGCCATTTGGTCAGTTGCGGGAAGTTGCTGGTTCGTGTCAGCAACTCATGGTTGCGAGTGAATGTCACAGTAACAAATCGTCAACAGCAGGGCAGGTCTGCGGCAGGGCTGTATCAACATTGACAAGGCAGTTGTTGACATTCACTGTGATTGGCTCTTGGCGTCGGAGCCTTGTAGCCTCGTAGCCTCGTCAGCCTTGAGTTTGCCTATACCTCAGTCTTCTCTCCTGGCGATGCGTTTTCATGCTACGTTAATACATACCACTCGATGAAATCTATGTCATGAACCCGGCGCCATAGCTGTACTGTGTGCGCTGTGATAGGAAGCCAGAAAAGCCTCTGGACATGACTCGAATCACCACTTCCTTTATTTCAATGTATTCATGTCGAAAATATCACCGCCAAACAGACCAGAACTCAACTTGGATGATGGCAAACTCTTCAAATCCCTTGCAAAACCCGCCACTACTAACAAAACAACATCCATGGCGTTGGTTATGACTTCCTACCTCAGGTAATTCCTGCAAACGGTCTACACCATCAAACCACCAGCAGATTATTCCATCACTCAAAGCCAAGCCTAGCTCTGCCGTTTGATCCTACCACTCCTTATAATAGTATTAAGTAAAAGGGATGCTCCTATAAAATCTCCTTTCTCCCCCCGCAGAACGGACAAACCAGCACCAGCACCCCGAACTTGATCATCAGACAGACACTAGAAACAAAAGTCAAAGTGTTATAATTATACTAAAAGGTCAACCCAACCCATCCCGCGACTTGCTCCAATATCATCTGTCAAAACAGACTAATTCTAGCGACCTCAACCAAGATCAAAGCCGTTCGTTTCGTCCATAATGCCAGGATCACCAAGTACACCTCCAAACACACCTGCAGCAAGTCCACCGGGCACTCCACCATACGCGAAGAATTGAGGGATATAAATAAGAATTGAGCGGAAAACTACATCAAGAAGACACGAGAAAGCCTTGCAAGAAGACATGGCATATAAATCCGCAACCGCGACTGCCCTACAATGCCCCAAAGACAAGACTCCAATCAGTCTTCGGCCACCGGAGGATTTGGGTCCCTACTGCAGCAGACGTGGCAGTGATGGATGTTTGAAAACCACCAAGGAAAGTCCAGGTTGAACATCTTGATCGGTAACGCAAAAGGCACTGATAATATTCAACGCTGCCGGGATGGGGAGAATTTTATTAGACTCGGCTGGATGAATGAATTTATGGGATGATAATAAATAGAGCCAACTTGTACCCTTCTAGAACTGCCACTGCACTCCTCTGCAAGCCACCTTGGAAAAGTATCTCTTGATTATTGTCTCCATCTATGCCATTTGTCGAGAGCGGCGGCACAAGTTAGGTAGGTCTATAATGTCTAAGTAGTAATGATCTATCTCCTAAAATGTGACCGGGTATAATCGTGATAGCTTCATATCAGGGGTATTTAGCTTTCTTGCCCCGCTGCTGCAATAATGCACGGCGGAAGGGCTTCTCTCGATATGGTGATGTGCACAACGCGGCACGAGCGCGTCATACCGTGCGCCCTCATGACCGTACCAGACCATACATACAGCGTTCACGGGGCTGCGTGTCGTGCTCCACATCCCCGAGGAAACCCACAGTAGGTAGAGGAACCATGCTGGAGTGGCGCTTCAAACACTGCCAGAGCTGAGCGTTGTGATCCATATCGTACCGGTGTTTAAGCCACAAGAGGATCTTCCTTCTTGTCACCCCTCTCAATGATTGGCGGTGGCTTAGGGATATTTTGTCGGAAGATGTGACGCTTGATGAAGTAGGGAAGCCAGACTTTCAACTCGTATCCGATGAATTCTTTTGTCGGGACCGAAAAGACCTCTGCGAGAGAAACATTAACAAACGTCCCAAACCAGATGATTGCAAGACCAGAGAAAAAGCTTACGGTCCAATTCTTCCAAAGTGAGCTGCTTCGTCTCTCGGACGAAACAGAAGATCATAAACCAGGCGATGAGATTGAGTCCAGCGTAGAAACCAACTAAAATATAAGTTAGCGGGAGCAACCGCAAAATAAATGGCAATTCCACTTACAGGCTCCAGTTGGAGTCATGACGGTCCGCATCCGAGGGAATGTCAAGCTGAGGACACCAGCTAGATAGAAATGTCAGTGTAATCCTGGCAGAAGTGGCTGGCGGCGGTCCACAATACTTACCGAAAGTGTTGTTGATGCAGACGGCCCATGCCATTCCTTGCTCACGTTGGATCGTAGGGAAAACCTCGGCAGAGTACTGGAAGGCGACTGGTCCTTCTCCCAGAGAGTAACAGATAGTGAAGAGATAGATGAACCTGAACCAAAATCAGTTATGCTCGACATGAAAGCATCCCGGTAAACAAAACTTACAAGACAACTGGGCCGATTTGTTCGCCACGGCTTCCGTCGTGTTTGAGAAGAGACAGGCCCGCGGCCAACAAGAAGATGCACATGAGAGGGAATGTCTGCGGAGCACAAATGGTTAGTCAGTCATTTCCATGTATAAACGGCGCAACGTATGTGACTCACGGCTAGGGTCAAGGTTCTGCGGCCCTTGGTGTCGATGAGGAACAACGTAGGGATCGTAGACACCACTTGAATGGCACCATAGCCCAGAGATGCATACAAGGCCTGAGATGGAGTGTAACCGACGTCCTCAAAGATAGTTGAGCTGTAGAATGAGATGACTGCAACGGGTCAGCAACTGAGTGCCGATACCGGCAATGGGGGAGACTTACTGTTGATACCGCACATCTGCTGGGCAATCATGACAGTCGAGGCACCATAGTTTGCTCGGCGGATTCTAGGGATGGCGAAACAGTCCCACAAACGCCTGAAATACCCGGCGCCACGAGCCTCCCGCAATTCCTCCTGGTAGATCACCCACGAGTAGTAGAAGTCCCTTGCGGCGATGATGGGATGAGCTCGCAAGCGCAGCATCGACCGGAAAGCTTGAGCGTGTTTGCCGTGCTTCATAAGCCAGCGTGGGGACTCGGGGCAGAAGAAGATGCCCACACCAAGGATGAAAGATGGAATAAAGGCGGATCCGAGTTGAAGACGCCAGGAGAGGCGACCCGTGTCTTTGACAATGACATTGGCGCAGAACCCCAAGAAAATACCTTTCGACAGCAGTCAGCATTCGACTTGTTCCAGAGTGAAAAACAACAGGCTTCCTACCGGCAACGACCCAAAGTTGCCAGAACATGACCAGCGCACCACGGATACGGGCTGGGGCCATCTCGGCAGAGTAGATTGGAACTGTGGCGTTCTTTGCACCAATGCCGATACCCATGACGAACCGCGCGGCGAAGAGTCCTTGCCACGATTGGGCAAAAGCGGAACCAATCGGGGTGGCAGTAAGACAGCAAGCAGTGATGAAAATCTCGCCTCTTCGACCGAAATAATGGTTGAGTGGATCGACAATGAAAGCACCACTATGCACAGTCAACCATCTGGAATGTTACGCTGAGCGTGGATGGTGCACTCACATGAGCCCGGCTGTCAAGAAGATAATGGCATTGATGATTCCGATGATCCATTCGTCTCTGCCTTCGCTCTTGAGACCGAATTCGTCAGGGAAGGACAGGTTGGCCCCGTTAGATCCGGTCTGATCCCATCCTTGCGTGGCGGCTCCGACTGCACACAGAGCAATCGAATACCAAAGCATGAAAGGGCCGTGCCATTTGTGGTCCCTCTCGTATGTGAGCGCCGCACGCTCTTCCTCATCCAGCTGGGTGACCGCCTCAAAATTGTCTGAGTCTCGGGCGACGAGAGCGGCTCGACCGAACAGAGCGGCATGCTCGGCCATGCCGTGTGACTCGGCAAATGTCTGGGCATCTGCCACTGTCTGCTCCGGCGAACAGCGCTGTTTGATGTAAACGGATCAGTGCCAACGCTCTAGATGCAAGAGGTGCATGACGGCTGAATCTTGCGCAGCTTACCTTGAGCGGATTCTCAACAATGTTGAGAGCGACCGATTTGCGGCGCTCACCCGCATCCACGAGCCCAGGCTCTGAGGTGGGATTTAAGTTCTTCTCATCGTGAGAGTACTGTGCGTACTCCGCTGCATTCTTCTCGGCCATGGTTGTTGATACTGTTCTATGAGCCGCAAAAGAACCAGCATAGGACGGGAGTCTGCTGGAGAGAAACGTGGGATGTGCGCGTGAGTCGACCGGGGCTCCCATACTTTATATGCTCCGCTCTCTCCATGGTTGCGGGTGTCCACGGGGAGGAATTGTCTCCCCATGGCTTCCTGTCAGGTGCTGCCTGGTCACCATCAGATGGTTGAATCGTGATGCGCGATCCACCAACATGTAACGAAGAAGCAAGGATCAGCACGAATCACAACACGCTCGCCTATCCTCATACCCGGTCGGTATGAGATCAGTGGCCACGCCGGGCGGACAACCCAAGCGCTCGCCAATGTTGATCAACACCACCTGGGCCGCGCAGGGTCCCATGGTGCAACCTGTCGAATGCAGGACTGTGCGCGAATGGAACCGGAGTGGTGCAATAAGGCTGCCCCCTGTGGGCGCAAGCAGCGCCAAGCGGGGCGGACGCCTCCCCATATTGGGCCTCCGCTCCTCCACTGAGGTGACATCGCGCCTCCAGACAAACCCCCGCGCTCCTGGCCAATATTCTCTGACACGTCAGTGCTCGGACGACACTCGGCATGTCCAGCACCGAGTACCTAGCTCAGGGGATTACTGCCAAGGTTCCCTTTGCATTGGAAAAGATGCGAATGTTCTTCAGGCCGCCGGCGCCTGGGCGCGACTACTCTGTTACGATACCTAAGGTACCTAGGTACTAGTAGCTAGAAACAATCGGCAATGCCAAGTAATGATCGGAGAGCGAGCGCGTCGTGGCGCGAACTTGTGGGCACCCGGCCTATGGTGGCCTCATACCAATAGTGCATGATGGAGTTTAAATGAATTAAGTTCGGTTTGATGGCAACCGGCGCTCGATATACATTGTCCAACGTTGTAATGATCAATCAGGCTAAAAGCCGTGGGCAAATGGAAGGCGCTGTCCTTTCCACCATGGTAGTATTGCTAGCACTGGTAGCTGACCGCTGGCTGACATAGATATCCCAGCACATACTCCTGCGCAGTGTGTATCACATCAAGGCCGGTTGGGCGTAGGGTATAGTTGTAGTGTCTCGGGCTTGAGAAAGCGAAGGGCATAAAATCGGAACTTGAATCCGGCGGGAAGCGATTTGGGCCAATCGCTGGCACGTCTAGCCCTGAAAGAAGAGGTTGGCACCGCTGCTTTGGCACGCCCTGGTGTCTGGTTGGACGATTGCGCACACTAACCAGACTAGGTGAAAGACCGGTGCTGCCGATCCTAACCGCTTGTCTTGTTTCGCCAAGATCATCAGGGCGGCGTGGCACCACCAGACCCGCCGCGGTGCCCGCAACTCAAACTCGCTTGCTCACATGACCGTAGTTGTACCGTCGCTGAAACCCGGTCAACGCTCATTGGCTGCTCGGTGTGAACGGCGAACTTGAGTTGCCAGCCTGATTGTGTGAGTGTGCCAGTGCTGAGATGTTCCCGTGGCCACTCCACCTCAGCCTTGTCTGCTCCTGAGCCTTCAGGTCTCTCGGGCCACGCGAGACAAACGCCGACGTTCGAGGCTGTCAATGCGACAAAACCATACCGGCTGTCTGGTAAAGATTACATGGAATGCCTCCTCTTCCCGTCGCGCCGGTCACTTCCTGGACTCCGCGCGTGGTCTGTTACTTCCAGACTTACCATCACAACAATGAGTACATTTCACTACTACCCTTGATAACTAATCCTTCGGGTGTTACACATGTTATTCTTGCCGCCATTCATGTGAATTGGGATCCCAACCATTTGACCCTCAACGACGATCCCCCCGACCACGAAAAGTATACGCAGTTATGGGACGAGGTCGTGGTCCTGCAGGATTCCGGGATCAAGGTCTTGGGTATGCTCGGGAGCGCGGCACGTGGAAGCTTTGCCAGGCTTGACTACAGTGAATCGCGGACTGATGTGCCTTTCGCGAGGTTCGAGGCCTACTATATCCCGCTTCGAGATATGATCCGCAGATACGGACTGGATGGCATCGATTTGGACGTCGAGGAGGAAATGTCTTTGCCTGGAATCATCCATCTGATTGACCGTCTGAGGAGCGATTTCGGGCGCGACTTTATCATCACGCTGGCTCCCGTTGCCACAGCGCTTATGGCAGGTATGCCTCACTTGTCAGGCTTCGACTACCGTATGCTTGAAGCTGCTCGTGGAAGCAGTATTGCGTGGTACAATGCGCAATTCTACAATGGCTGGGGTGGCCTACATAACACAGACGCGTATGACGAGATCATGCGCAATGGATGGCCGGCCGACAAAGTCGTTGCAGGCATGCTGACGCACCCGAAGCACGGTGGAAGTGGATACGTACCTCTCGAGCAGACGGCTGCCGTGTTGAGCTTGTTAACAGAGCGGTATCCTACGTTTGGAGGCGTGATGGGCTGGGAATATTGGGACGCTCTTCCACAGGAGAAAGATTGCTGGATGTGGGCATATTGTATGAGATTATGCATGGGCATGAAAAAGTTAAGGGATATTGCTGTCATGATGCGTATGGGCAGGCGTATAGAGGCCTTGAATATGAACCGGTGAAGTATGTCTTCCATGAGCCAGGCGACGTGACTTCTGTAGTAGTTGACTACAACCTACAGCCACCAAAGGGAGACTTGAGGACAAGGCTGAGAAATACTGTACATGTGCTGGTCAGGCTGTCTGACAACCAAGATGCAGTGATTGGTGCGATTGCTGCCTATTAAAAGTGGTGTCTCCGCTGTCAGACAACGAACCTATAACGGCTCAATGCGGTCCAACTGCGTCATGCTCGTGGAGACGAAGAGGAACTTGAACTTGAAACCGGCTATCAACATTTATTTCCTGGTTTCTGGTCGAATATTCTGCTGATTCCCTGTCGACATGTAAAGCGAATATCTCGCCGCCCGCGAGGTAGTAACCTTCTGCTAGTGTGCCAGTGTGGCTCGATATTCACGATGCCATCCACACCCGAGATCATTGCGGCCACCAGTTCAACGGTCGCCAGAGTGTGCGCCTACGTCTTTCTGCGATGGGTATGACTTTAAGCACCATGGGTCTCCGGCAGCACAGACTAATCCTCCTCACAGATTCCTGGGCACCATTTCCCTCCTACCATCCTTTCCGCGGTAGCGGTGTACCTGGCATGTGTGTTTGGCGCATCGGAGGGCTTCGGCCCCAGCAGACCGTCGTTACGCACGACGTTCCCTGAAGCGGTCCCCAAACAGAATAACGCGACGGAACCGCAAAAAGAAGCCGGGGAGGCAGAGCAGACAGAAACGGAACATGATGAGCCAGTCTTGTACGAAGACGAGAAGTCGTTCTTCCGGACGTTCCTTCTAGGAATACCTGACTGGGGAAAGCCGCGCTGGAGTTACACCACCATCGCTACCAATGTGATACTGGCACTATTCACCTTGGACATGGTGTTTCGAGGACCTCTCCTACATCCAGTCAAAGATTTGAGCTTCACGCGGGTAGGATATGTGGGCTCCCACACGGCCAAAGTCCTTATCCGAGAACCAGACCAAGCTCAGCTGCCAATGTATGTCTATCTATCACCAGCCGACAAGACAAACTGGCGGACCACCGACACCATATATTATCTTGGACCGGATACAGATTACACTCATGCCATCACTTTTGAAGACCTTGAACCGTCCAAGAAGTACATATATTCGCTGTCCAACGACAAATCGGGCACCTTTACCACAGCGCCAGCACCCAATTCCGAAGCGGCCAACAGCCTAACTTTCGTCACCTCGTCTTGCATCAAGGCGAACTTCCCCTATAAGCCCTGGTCCCATTCTCTGGCATTCCATGGCTTCGAGCACCTTTCGAAGGTTCTTCGAGGTTTGCCGTCACCAGCCTCTTTCATGCTCTTCCTCGGCGACTTTATCTACATCGATGTCCCCTTGCGTCTGTCCTCGTCCATCCAACACTACAGGTCCGAATATCGACGGGTTTACGCCTCACCCTCATGGTCTTTACCGGCACTCGACACTCTGCCCTGGATCCATACTCTTGACGACCACGAAATTGCCAACGACTGGTCCAGCGGCAACGACACCGATCCCTTCCCAGCTGCGTCGGACCCATTCATACACTATCATGTCTCTGTGAACCCACCACTCCCGCCAGGATCAGCGGTAGGGCCGGAGGCGAACACCACATATTTCCAATTCTCGCATGGTCCTGCATCGTTTTTCATGCTCGACACGCGGCGCTACCGTATCGACCCTGAGCCCACATCATCCTCCTCCACGTCTTACCTCAATAAGCCACTCTACGGATCGTCTTCCGAGCCTGGCAACCCTCCAGACCATAAGTCACATCACACGATGCTCGGCTCAGCCCAACTGGCGTCTTTACTCAAGTTTCTATCGACACCCGAACCACCACATATACACTGGAAGATCATCGCCTCATCCGTCCCGTTCACCAAGAACTGGCGCTTCGGCACCTCCGACACCTGGGGCGGGTTCCTACGCGAACGATCCGAGATCCTGGCGGCAATGCACGCTGCCGAGCGGGAGCTGGGTATTCGGGTTATTATCCTCTCCGGCGACCGCCACGAGTTCGCCGCCATCCGTTACCCGCCTCCAATTATCGACTTGGCCGCTTTGTTGCCTGTGCCGCAGCAGGTCAAGAGCAAGAACACAGCAGCCACCAAGAAGGCATCATCGTCATCGTCAGTTGTAGGACACTCTCCACAGTCCATATCCAGCGTTGTCTACGACCGTACTCCGCAGGCCGGTCCGCACGAGTTTTCCGTCGGTCCACTCAGCATGTTCTATCTCCCCTTCCGGACATTCAAGCAGATTGACGAGGAAGATGTGGCTATCAAATACTTGCCTGACGGGAATAGCAAGGTTGGTGTTCTGGAGATCAAAAACCTCCACGGCGAGCTGCAGCGTAGTTTGCTCAAGTACTCGTTGTACATTGACGGGAAGCTGGCGTGGGAATATGCCCTTACCAGTCCGGCTGTAGGGTCGTCCCCGCAGCCCAGCTACAGCCGAAGTAGGACCAGAGGCACTTCTGAGTGGTTATGGAGTTAGTTGGATTTTGGTGATGAATATAATAATGCCTCATACGCAATATAATGGGTCAAAGCTACCGGCAGACATATCCTAGGTCGGAAGAGGAAGACGCGGGTTTATTTTTCAAAGACTCGTGGCTATCATTAAAAACTCATCTACAGTCACGTTCACTGCATGGCCTCTGTTTCCCGTGCTCACATGTATCTCCGATTCGCATTTTTGTTTTCGTTTTCCCCTAACATAATGACACCGTGATGCGCCGGCCACTTTCATTTTCATAACGCCAGAATACCTACAGTACCTTATCTATATACACTCTTGCGTCCTTACTCCCAAACTCCCTCTCAACTCCGTTCCGTTTTGCTCTTTCAAGATTCCAACCCGATCCCGCCAGACAGAAATAAGAACGCGGGCACATCGCTTTCGTGGCCATTTGGCATCTTTTTCTTCAATGCGACTACCTAGGTAGGTAGCTGCACGACCGTGCTGTGTCGTGCTGTGCTGTCTTGTTCATGTACAGAATATGTATGTACTGAAATTGGAAGCAAGACACCATCAAAATCCTGTCCACTGCCACTGCCACTGCCGCGATCAGAGATAGCCACAGTCACAGTCAAACTGGAACGACAAAAGCGACATTTCCGGCAAGGACAGCAATCTCCATACGGCAGCTATTACAAAAAGCCATTCGTCTTCAGAAGCCTTTTGATCGAAGGCGTTCTTAATTGGCGTTGGGTTGAAGCTCAACCCGGGAACAACGACACAAGACCATTCACGTATCTTTCGAGATACTGCATCGAGATATGTAGATGTCGACGCGTGGCTGGACAGCGAGGACTTGTTCAACAGGCTTGAGGTCAGGCTCGGATGTCCGAGTTTAGGACACTCAACAGGATAGACATTCCGGGATGACAGGACAGTCGACTTAAAAGTCTTCGGCAGCAGCCCTTAGATGAGAACAACCCGAGATGTGACCGTTGCTCCGATAATCGAGCGCGGGTGTTTGGCATGCTTTCCGGATCCGCGTCGCATCTCACACAACAAGGCAGTAGGCTTAGTATGTGTCACTGGCAAGAGTGTTGTAATCGGGATGGTTAGGCGCCTTCTTGCTTCGCCTCTCAATGCGTCGGATGAATTGAAGATAGCCGACAGATGCCGGCAAAAGGCGAGACCAAACCAGTCGACGTCAACACTTCTGTATTGTTGATTGTCCTCCAAGATGCGCGGTAGTTTGCCGCATAGGCTTCGTTTGCAGCCTCACCACGGGCTGTTTTCATTCATCCCATAGCAGCCACGAATTTCTCCAAGGAAATTCGTCACCCGCGTGCTAGGAGTTGCACCTTTGCCTTGAACCAATATGACAGTTGCCCGCTGGTCTGCGAGCAACAGTGCCACCGACCAAGTCAGATTTCCCTCTACAAGTATGTAGCTGGTAATTTGGAAAATGGATAGGGTATTCATCGAAATCAACAGTTCTGTCCGAAGCGGCGGTCAAAGTCCTTCAAAACCGCCATGACATTAGCAGCATCAATCTCCAACGCTGGCCGTCCAGACATTGCCGGGTGAGCATCGCTGGCATGCAGCTTTGGAAGCCAAGTAGCAATATCGGCACTTGCACGCTCATACGCCGGATGACGACTGAGGGTCGTGTAGGCGTCGGCACACGTCAAGGTTACGCCGGCCTTCGGGCCTGGCGGGGGGAGTGCGTTGTGACCCTTGCCTGTGACAGCCGCTGCAGCGCGTGAACGTGTGTTTCGTGGAGGAAGAGGGACCGAGCCATTCGTATTCGGTGCTTGGCTCTGGCAACAAGATCCTCCGGCGGTTCGCCCACCACAGCAACCGCCGGCGACAGCGGGACTGTCGCTTGCCGACTGAGCACGCGAAGCGGCTAGGGACTTGCAGAACAGAGTACTGTTCGGGTCGGCACGGCATTGGGCACATGTTCCCGGACCGGCAGCACCACACCCTCCAGCGGATGCTGCTGGAGCCACGGCGGGGACGGACATTGAGACATCGCCTTCAGATGGAGGCGGAGTGAATTGATCCAGCTGCCTTGGATGGCTGAGAGTCAATCCTCCCGCCGCGGGTCGAGACGTGGCTAACATTCGACTGCTTTGCTCTCGCTGCTGTTCCTGTTGCTGCATTTCCTGCTCCGCGGCCATTTCGGCACAAATACATGGCGTGCCGTCCGAACAGAAGCCACAGGGGTCTGCCACCGTCGTTGTTGGTGACCGATCGTCCACTCGAGTAATACTCGGCAGAGACTTGGAGGCATAAACCGTCGTGAAATCAATTTCGAGACTGTCACTTGGCTCGACCTTGATCCTTTTCTCGCCTTCAAGAGGTTGAGGTGAGCGGGCTCGTTTCTCATGTTGATGAGTGCCGGCGGCGGCGGCTTCCCCGCCCATGGAAGTGAAGGCATCGTCGATACATTGGCAACGCGTCTCAAGCGTGCAATTGCCACAGCCGACCGAATTGTCGCTGACATCTGGTGCAGCTGTTGGAGACTGTTTTTCTTGGCTCGGTGTGTTATCACCGGACTTTCCGAGGGTTGGCCGGAGGGCTTTGAGTGAGGCAAGCTCGCCCTCCAGCTTTCGACAGCGTTCGACCCAGTTGCTAAGGTCCGCTCTATATTGGTCGAGGTCTGTCTCGAGCTTCTGGATCGTGTTCTTTAACGCTTGCTGTTCCTGCTCATTTTCCTCCTCAATCTGCTTAAGTTGCTCCTCCAATTCCCCGACTCTCGCGGCACGGCGCTCTCGAAAGGCCCTTTGTGCAGCGCGATTTTGTGCCTTCCGCTTTGTTGGAGGAGTGTCTGTGGCCGGCTTGCGGCCGGGCTTTGGCCGTGGGGGAATGACCCATTCCTTGCTAGTCAGAGACAGCGGTGGTGAGGCGGAACTGGGCGACGGCGCGGGAGCCTCCTGTACTGGTTTCATGCATAGAGATGGCTTTCGTGAAAGAATAGGCTTCACATCTACTGATGTTGCCGGCGTGGTGGCTGCTGGCGGTGATCCAGCGGTGGAAGCCATTTTTGGTTGAGGACCTGCAACCTCCGAGTTTGGCCGAGGGCGACGGGATGTCTTTGTTGTTGCTGTTGCATCGACCAAGCTTCCCAATCCTGGCAGAGCTGCCGTGCAAGCAAGACACAGGCAGACCCGAAGCTGGCGCCTGTCTTGCTTGCTCGTATGTACAGGTTGGGCGCAAGCGACAAAGTGGGATGTCAACTGGACGTGGTGCTGTATCCGGACAATGGGAGATCAGTTGCAGGTTGAAGGAGATATTGCCGAAGAGATCAATTTTGATCATATCTGATTAGATTTTCTGCCCGATAATCGGCCTTGGCAGGCGGGGTCATGCTGATGTTCGAGCCAGTCACACCACCTCGGAAAACCTGCTCCAGTCCTTCAGGGCATGTTTACAGGACCCTGAAGAGACCTAGGGCCTTTTTAATGACGGCGATGTTACTAGATTGCCTGGGTACAGCACTGGCCGGGCAGACAGCCATTTGCAATTATGCCGCATGTGGGGGGTGGTATTATAATGTACATATCAACAACTCTACTTCCTTTTCATGGCGGAGGAGAGTGTGGGTATCGTAAAAACGCCTTCAACACCTTGCTAACCTCCCGGGATAGCAAACAAACTCCACCGTATGCGTGACCTGTAGGGATTTTGCTCCCGTCCAATCAGAATTTACCGCCGTGTATGTTGGGACTGTCCGCAGCGCCTTCACTTCCATTCTGCAGCCCTCCCAGGAACGAAGTGCCCCAGATCCCGACAAGACCCCAAAACCCGACTCTCCAACCACGGTAGAGACCTTCAATTCCCTGTCCCTTGCGCCTTCTTCGGGGCGCTTTGCCCATCAGAGCCGCTGTCCTGTCCTTTTGGGACTCGGAGTATCCCTCTTCTCGTGCAATGCTCCACATTGTCGGTAGGATGCCTCTGTATGACTGCGGTACAGGAACGATTGTGGTGATCGCTTTGCGCTTTGAAGATGTGGTCGGCGGTGAGTAGGTCGGGGAGGTCCAAGTGGTGATTTGTGCGCGACGTAGAACAGTCTCCAGAGGAAATTTGATGGAGAGATCCAATGCAGAGCTAGCGAAAGTGGCGAGACTCCAGCTCGTGGGGTTCATCGCCGGGTCAAGACCGAGGTAGGATTTTAAGAAAACCGGTGTGCTGGTGGAAATAAGGGCCGGAAGGGTAGATGTGAAAAAGGTGATCGGGATCAAGTGTCGAGGGATCAAATATGGCGTTGGCAACGTCCTGAGAGTGCCAAGCAGAGTGCGTGGCTCCTCACTTGATGGTGTGAGGATAAGTCGAGTTCTCGCTGCGTCAATGGGCGCTAGCACAAGGGCAGACATGGCTGTCGCCGCCGCCGTGATTAAAATCGTCGCGCCAGGACTGCTGGAAACAAGGATGGACGAATCTGGGATCGTTCCTGAAGATATCGGAGAGAGAATATCATGTTCTGCTAGTCCAAGCACTGCTGCTAGGAAACTCTTGAAAAAAGTTTCTAGCGTCCGACTTAAGACAGTGTAGATGAATGTAGAATTCGTGGCACGCCACATCGCCAGCACGCCGCTGCTGGAGGAGAGTGAGGAGAGTGCATCAAGCAGGGAATTGGGGTTCTTCAGGCGAATTCTGCCTGTAGAATCCTGTAGCCGGTCGGGACGCCGTGCTGGCCTTCCATGTCGGCCACGGACAGGGGATTGACTCGAGGAAGCCCGTTCAAAGGGCGGCGTGGATGTAAAATAGTTTGGTTCGTCATCGGAAGAATGGCCATCATAGTAGCCATCACCGTCTTCCTCAAACTCGCCGTATTTTGCTTGCCCTGGAGCAGAATCTTCCTCTTCCTCATCCTGCGCAACACGAGCTTGTAGGATGAGTTTTGCAACCTCAAACGGCTGCGCAATGACCACATTTGTATACTTCCATAACGCCTGATCCAGTATAGACTTGATCGCACCCGGAATTGATGGCGAAGCCTCAGAAATGTAGTCGGAGTAGTCGATGTCTGGGAATGTGAAGGTCGATCCCGGCTGAGACTTCGACGCGGCTGCGCTGGCGTTTGAAACGGCTTCTACTCCAATAGAGGGCGGAACGTAGTAGGGGCGTAGAGGGTTTGGCACATATCTTGGATCTTGCATCTTGGAAGGGGCGCAGAGAACTGGTATTCGTGGTAGATGGTCTACCCTGTTCCTCGTCTGGGAGAAAGATGTTGGCTTCGATGATGCGGCTATCGTGACAATTCACGTTCAGATCATACTACGTGAACACAGACCGCTACACGTGACATTCAGCCTCGTTGCAGCTTTAGCCGAAACTTCCCCCTTTACCCCTGAGCCTTTGCTCAAGTGAAAAGTGGCCGGCCAGAAACGCATTTGATGAGCACCATGAATCATGGCTTCAATAATGGCTCTATTGTTGCCTTTTATCGACAAAATGTGACAGAGGATGAATCCCTCAATTTTCTATACTTGCGGCGCAACGATATCAGGTTTCTTTCGATCCATGGTCTAGGCTGCGAGGTTTTCTCTGCTGGAGTTGACTTGAACCAACCCTATGCGTAACGACATATAGTGTTCAGGGCTGCAGTATTGAGACCCAGCATGACAAAGAGATGTTGTAACTGTTGAATTTCAGCAGTGTGGTGCACTATGAACTTGGGAAGTGTCGCATTGAAACCGGCCACTGATTATTGGCTACCTTGGGTCGTAGCTACCAATGCTGATGGCTTAGATGGAACATAAGGAGGCCCATAGCATAGCCCACGATTAATTCATTGTATTTTACTATCGACATACCTCAACAATTAAAAGTACCTGGTAGAGGTTCGCATGTTTACATTATTGTACACTGGCGGCCTGTACCCAACCGTAGCCGCCAAGATTGCGTCACATCGGACTCGGAGCTCGGCCTGAAGTGTTTTCGGCCGTTGCGGTCGCTGCTTTTTGTGGCTCGCTGCTAGTAGTGTTGCAGATAATATAATCACTACTGGAACAGTTGTGTTCCAACATCCGCGGAGCATCACCACCGGCGCCGCGGTCACTTGTTTCCAAGCCTAGGGACATGTCTGGGTTCAATGGAGCGGGCGCCTTGATCTGGCGGTCCATGGCCAGACATGTGCAGCAGCCAGACCTCGTTCACCAGTGTCGAAATGCCACCCACCGAATTTTCCGGCAAAGCGTCCGCCCGTCGTCGACGATGACCTTATGTCGGCGCCACCAAGCCCAAGTCGAGCTGAAAAAAGATCAGATCCGACAGCAAATACGTATACTAGAACAAGGTCGGAGGCGGTTTTCGGTGACTGCCGCACAAAAGCATGGCCATATCACTCCGCCTAAGCCGGGAGAAGAGTATGAACGAGAGTACCGGACAACAGAGATGTGGCGCTGACGGTATGGCAGACTTCATGTGACATTCATTGATAAAGACGGGGATCGACATACCTTCGAAGTCTCCGCGGGCGACAACCTGTTAGATATAGCGCAGGCCAATGATCTTGAGATGGAAGGTGAGTCTGAGCCTGCTTTCACGGCAGCGATGTTGCCGTCAATTCCTAGGACCTTTTGGATGTCAATCTCCACAGGGGCAATGGCTGACTTTGATCTCCAGGGGCCTGTGGTGGGTCATGCGCCTGTTCTACCTGCCATGTCATTGTCGAAGACGAAGAAATGTACGATAAGATTCCCGAGGCGTCGGACGACGAAAACGACATGTTAGATCTTGCCTTCGGATTGACGGAAACGTCGAGGTTGGGCTGCCAGGTGGTAATGACCCCAGAATTAGACGGGCTGGTTGTAAAATTACCTCAGATGACGCGGAATTTGCAAGCGTCGGATTTCGAGAAAAGGAGCTGATGGAATCGGCTGGGTGCCTTGCGACATGTACATGTACAAATATAATCTGCTCTCATGCTCCTGTAAGGGAAAATCATCACTTTCGCGCCGTGGGAAGCACATTCATGCTGCTGGCTAGGCCGATTGATACGCTATTGCTTGGGGTCGGTCTTTGCCTTTTTCCCTGCAATCAACTCCAAAAACCCCTGTTTACTCATTTCATTGATCTTCTCCTCGCGGTTGGCCATACCGACCGTCCCTTTCTTTCGCTCTTCCCTCGCGGCCTGTTCAGCCTTGACTTGGGCCGCTCGAACGGCGTTGAAGAGCTTGATAACACCGCGCTGGGCAATTTTGCGCAGCCTCTTTTCTTCCTCGGCGATTTCACCGGCCTTTCCGGAATTCAGCCCCAACACGTCCTTGATTCTCCCTCTTTCTAGGTCTTCTTTGCGTTCAAACCGTAATTTGGCTTTGGCCTTCTTTTCCAATCGCTCGTTGGCAAGAGAAGCACTCGTTTCCGCTGCTTCTTTGCTCCGTGAAAGGACTGGGTCTTTTCGAGCCGATTGTGACAGCTTTGTAGATAGAATTTTGGAGATGGATGTCGAAAAGGCATCCGGATCGTTTCTTTTGCTTGTGGGTTTTCTTCTCTTTATATCCGTCGACCCGGCTTCGCCCTCTTCTTCCGATGCACTGTCCTCCTCTGAACCTGTTCCCTGGCCATCTTGCTCGCTGTCTTCTTCTGAGTCGGCCGTGGCGGGTTTCGCGGGTTTCGCACCAGGACTCTTGGTGCTAGTTTTGGTCTTTGGGGGAGGCGCTGTCTTGGGTTCATCATCTGAGTCCGCCAGGTTTACTGCCGCAAATCCTCCGTCCTCCGAGTCCCGATCTGAATCCTCCGACGAACTGTGGTACTCGAGTTGCTTCCTGAATCGCTTTTTGGGCCGTTCTGTCTTTCCTCGCATTCCATCTTGGACTTTACGCTTCTTTTGAGACATGGGAGCCATTTTAGACATGATTGCACGGCAAGTATTTGTTCGCTGATATGTCGTTGTAATCGAGGCTCCTGGTGCCAGAAATTGTTCTGGAATTTCTCGTCGGTAGAACTGCGGCGCCATCATACAATTGGTACATTGTACTGCGGATTATTCGCCCCACTGCACTCCAGGACTCGAACAGGAACCCGCCATCATCAGAACATCTACCAACACTAATCCGCGTACCTTAATCACCACTCACACTTGAGATAGCAAGAGCGAACTCGATCAATACCCGCGGTGTCTTGCAGCACTTCGTGCGCATCCTTCTGCAAGATGGTTCTCTCCGATCTGGGGCGGCGTATCAACGCCGCCGTGTCGAACCTCAACCGAGAACCCAACCTGGACGAGAAAGCGTTCGATGCCATGATCAAAGAGATTTGCTCGGCGCTCCTTGCAGCCGACGTGAACGTTCGACTGGTCAAAAACCTACGTAAATCGATACAGAGTACAGTAAACTTCAAGGACTTACCGCCGCAAACGAGTTCGAACAGCAAAAAACGGCTCATTCAGCAAGCCGTCTTTGACCACCTCGTCCAGCTCGTGGACCCGCATGCCGAGCCTTACAAGCCGAAAAAAGGGAAATCCAATGTTATCATGTTTGTTGGATTACAAGGTGCTGGAAAGACCACCACGTGTACAAAGTTGGCGAGATACTACGCCCAACGAGGATTCAAAGCATGTTTAGTCTGTGCGGACACCTTCCGAGCCGGTGCTTATGACCAGCTGAAACAGAACGCAACCAAGGCCAAGATACCCTATTATGGGTCGTTGACTCAAACAGACCCTGCAGTTGTCGCTGCTGAGGGTGTGGCGCGGTTCAAGAAAGAGAAGTTTGAGATCATTATCGTTGATACCTCTGGTCGGCACAAACAAGAGGCAGATTTGTTCGAGGAAATGATACAAGTGCAGAAGGCCATCAAGCCGGACCAGACCATCATGGTTCTTGATGGGACCATCGGCCAAGCAGCAGAAGCGCAATCGTCCGCCTTCAAGGAGGCCGCGGATTTCGGTGCCATAATCATCACCAAGACTGATGGAGGAGCCGCTGGAGGTGGTGCCATATCAGCTGTGGCAGCCACCCATACACCAATTATTTTCCTGGGTACTGGAGAGCACATGATGGACCTTGAAAGATTTGCACCTAAACCATTCATCTCAAAGCTCCTTGGCTATGGTGACATGTCCGGGTTGATCGAACAGATCCAGTCAATCACACGAGAGTCGGCTGGAATGAAGGAAACGCAGAAGCATCTGGCTGAGGGTATTTTTACCCTGCGAGATATGAAAGAACAAATCACCAACATCATGAAGATGGGACCACTTTCTCGAGTGGCTGGCATGATACCGGGGCTTGGAAGCATGATGCAAGGTAAGTTGATCTCGCTCAGGAATTTGAGCAAAAGCAGATTCTAACCTTGCCAATAGGTATGAGCGATGAAGATGGAACCGAAAAGCTGAAGCGAATGATCTATATCTACGACAGCATGACTGCCAAGGAGCTGGACTCGGATGGCAAAATTCTAATTTCTCAACCGTCCCGAATGGTGCGGATTGCGTGCGGCTCTGGGACCAGTGTACGTGATGTGGAGGAGCTTCTCACCCAACATAAAGTGATGGCTTCGTTGGCCAAGAATATGGGCGCCCAGAAGAAGAACATGCAAAGAGCACAGTCGATGATGCAGGGCGGCAACAAAGCTCAACAAATGGCCGCTATGCAGAAAAGGATGGCCAGTATGGGCCAGGGACGAGGAGGTTTCCCTGGTGGAGGTGATATGGGCAAGATGATGCAGCTCCTGCAGGGCATGGGCGGCGGCGGCGGGGGTGGCATGGGCGGAATGGATTTGAATGCCATGATGCAGCAGTTTGGTATGGGCGGAGGCGGCGCAGGTGGCAGAGGCCGCGGGAGATGAGTTATCGATGGTTTTGCTGAAGCACTGCTGTCATTGAACAGTTGTTCAGTGGGCCCATCCAGCGACAACCCCGTCCGATCATGGTGCCTGTGAATCGGCACCGCCACGCTACTCAGATCGCTTCAACCTTGCCTCTGCAAGTACCACCACAGGCAGCGGTAGCACTTCGCCTTTGCAAGGAGCCATGCTCTCTCCACGTCCGAGTTTCGGAACAACAACGATGGCAAGAAACGGTTGACGAATTCGCAACAGGGTTAACCATTCTACCAGCCGAACTGTGATGGAGAGAACTGGGAGGAGTTCCTCGGCGGAGTAGGCAAGGGATATGATGTGGGTGAGCCAATCCATACTGGCAGTCTCCCGCCGACAGAGCTCAGTCCGACATAGCGCAGATGCGGAGTGAAATAAGAGCCTCGAACACCGATGGCTTACACCGGTCACCATGCACTGGCAGGGTGATTCCGATATTGACCGCGGCGGCGTTGGAAATGCGCTCGCTCGTCCCTCAAAAGAGCCATGATACGCGACGCCGGCCAGGTTCTCAAAGAGTCATTATGAATAATGAAGTCCTGGCAGTCGCACCTTCTTTCCAGTTACACATCCCTTCTTGCTTAGCTACGATACGGTCATTGTACAATGTTATAGTCCTTTGGTGCGCGTCCAACTTTATGAAACCGGGGCACGTGATGCACTGTGGTAGACTCCGCCAATCGGAGACGCGGAATGGAACGACGCCGCCTAAAGTCCGAGTCCCGTCAAACTATGGCAACTCGAAGCTGAATTTCTTTATCGAAGCGCAGCCTTGGATTGAAGTTGCCATCATCTCCCATTACAGCCGGCCCGACATCACCCCAGAAGCCTCTCCTTTCGCATTCTTTTTGTTTTCCAGTTTCAGTTTCAACCAGCAAGATGGGGTCACTTGGGGGCTTCGGCATGCCAGGCATGGGCAACCCTCAGACGGCGGGCATGAGTGAACAAGAACAACAAATGGTCAAGATGGTACGTTACGAGCTGTCGCATCACAACCCCCAATGCCCTGACTCCATGATGACCTGCCGGAGGCCATTTCATCTGTTCTATCTCCGCTTCGCTTAATTCGCGATGAACCATTGCTAACTGCATAATACAAACAGATGCAAAAAGGCATGGAATCCTGCGTCGCAAAGTCGGCTCTAGCAGGCGGCATGGGCTTTGTCCTCGGTGGAGCTTTTGGGTTGTTTATGTCGAGTGTAAGTTTGGACACTCCTCTCTGGTATCAGTAACCCTGGACATATTGTCCTGGCTGTTTGTCTGCACGATGTTGTAGCAACATAGTGTGCGAGGCGAAGGACAAGAAAGAACATGGGCGCTGACACCCATTTTCCTTCGCTAGATGGCCTACGACACCCCCCTCTCGGCACAAGGACAACAAATCACCTCTCTCCCCGTACGCGAACAGCTCCGCCGCGGTCTCAAAGACATGGGCTCGAAATCGTACTCGTCCGCCAAAAACTTTGCCATGATCGGCGCGATATACAGCGGCACCGAGTGCGCGATCGAAGGGTTCCGAGCGAAGTCGGACTTGACCAATTCCGTCCTTGCCGGCTGTATTACCGGTGGTGGTTTGGCGTACAAGGCTGGTCCGCAGGCCGCTGCGCTGGGGTGCGCTGGCTTCGCGGCCTTTTCGACGGCTATTGATGCGTACATGAGGATGCCGGAGAGTGATTAAAGGGTACAATACACGTACATTGGCACAAAGAAAAAAGCGTGAAAAGACGATGCAAGCCCTGAAAAGGAGAGGAAAGGAAAGAGTGCCGGTGTCTATCCTCTACATCCAACCTGGCCAGGTCTCTGCGCGGGGAGAAGAAAACATTGGGCAAGTGTGTCCAGCTGGCCAGCCAGCCAGAACGGTGGAGACAGTCTCGAGTGGAGGATACCGGTATGCCTTGAGAATGGCCAAAAGGAACGATGCGTCAATAGACAACAAACAAGGCATCGTCAACGCGGATCGGACAAGCAGATCAGAACGACAAGGGGCTGGCCGACACTTCACATTGAACCAACATCATGATTGCTCCTAACATCGCGGCCACTACCACTACTACCACTACCACCGTCGAAGACTAGCCACCCTACTCATCACAACCACTACTGTACCGGCTACAGTAGTCAAATAGATAATTACAAATGATACCGCATTATTTACTCGCGGAACCGGATCTGGAACATCCCTCCTCTTTCAGCCAAAGGGAAGCAGCAACGAATCGAATCGAATACACGGATCACCAGACAACAAAATAGATGACGGCCTTCGACCCTTACGCCCTGCTCCGCTCCGTCGTTGTGGTCGGGGTGGTGGTATGGACGACTTACTGTGGCGCTTTGCTGGGCTATGGAACTCTCGTTCAAGGCGCCCGGATTCGTTGGCCGGAGAGGCCCGTTTAAAGGGCAAGAGAGCCAAGAAAAACAAAGCAAAACAATCTTTTTGATACCCATCACTTCACCTCAACTCAAGCTCAACACAGTCCTGGGACAAAGTGGTGCTTACCTTACCTTATTATTCGCTTATCACGCAACGGGCACTGCATTGTCTTTTTCCCGCCCATTTCTCGGCCCAGGCGAACCGAATGAAGCATTTCAAATTCCACAGTACTCACTTACCTGTCTATCATCATTGCTGTCTCTGCCTTTGCCGAGGTTGTTGAAGTGGCAAGTGCACAAAGGGAACCCCATAGTCGATGGGAATGACAATGGGAATGGTACGAGGAGGTCACTTTGTCACACTGCATCATCTCTTTAGAAAGAAGAGAGGAACCGTCCCTTGGATTCTGTATACTAGTGATCGGCGAAACGAGGAGGGTTAAGGTATCAGGGGCTGGAAGTAGGGACAGGATGAGGGAGACAAGAGATCGAGTGCGAGAGCGCAAGCAAGAAGATAGAAATCTCTCCTCTCACGTACTATATCGCTACATTTCCAACTTATCTGAAACAATTCAAAAATTATTCGGAGGGCAAACTGTACACTGACGAGTGAAATCACTGCTACATGAAATAGGTCTAATAATTACTCCTCTCCGGTCGAGAAACAACCCAAACAGTAAAACAGTCTTGTACTCAGTCTCTGTATTGGATAAAGGGAAAGATAAAGTACCAGTATCTAGATAACAAGATGACCTGCACTGGGCAGCAGGGCAGGGACATCCAGGTTCGAGTTCCTCAAGCGTACGGCGCCCGGCCCAAGAGCTTCTCGCTGAACCGCTTCCACACTGTTGGCTTGCATCGGTAGTATCTCACTGCATCCAACGACTGCACGCAGATGCAGACCTCCATTGGAGATGTATCTCCCACTTCACGATGGCACCGAGGACTCTGTCGATCCCCGTTCTACTCTTTGTCCCGTCCAAACACCGATCGACACAGAAACTCCAGCCCATTGAGCGTTCGATCATGGTACGTGGTGCTGAGGGGCGCGGTTCAAATAAAATACCTGACAGGAGCATCAAACAACCCACACCACCGTAGTCCAACGCCTGGCTTTCCATACCGTTGCTGTGAGTAGTTTCTTTCGGACAACCACCTCACGGCCCCCAAACGCGAGCCATGAAGCCAGAAAGGGCGTTTCGGCGGTCTTGCCTTGGCCAAGAACAGAATACTGTTCCGAAGACTGTGCAGTTTCAAATGCGATCCTACTGCACCTCGCTGACGATTTCTTGAGCTTTGCTCAAGCTCTCCACCATCTGTAAGCACTCTTTCCGCCGTCTAACCGTGTAGTCGCTTTCCTTGAGAAGATCGTCGATCTCCTGTGTCCGGTACAGTTGACCGAGCAATTCTCGCTGCATTTCTTCTTTCGTGTGCCTACAACAAAGTCAGTCCTTTTGTCTCAGGGGGTGAAATCATGCTGACACTTACTGTACTAGGTTCAACATGATTGCTTTCGGAACCATGTCAATCATTGTCCTCCGTACGATATTGAAATAGCTGTTGATGAGCAATTTGATAACCTCCACTTCCTGGCTCTCACGTTCGGACAGGGTGCCGCTGGCTTTGAGTGTGGCTGGCGGCGGTTCCATGGCCGCCATCTTCTTCTTGTTCTTACTAGCAAAGAAGGAGCCGAAGAACCCAGAGTTCTGATCGGAGCCATCCGTAGGAAGACCGGGCGAGGCTGCTCGAGGTGGCACCGACGGTGGAAGAGGTTTGCCAGTTTTCGGGTCCACTTGTGTTGGTTTGTTGGCATTGTGTCTGTCGTTGACAATGGCCATTGCACGATGGCCATTCAAAAAGTCTGGATGGCCTGTATTGATGTAACACGCCTCCATCGCCACCAGATCTTTAACCAACTTGTTGGTTGGCTCTATCGACTTGCGGAAGAAGGAGATGACAGTCTGGTGGAATCTCTCCTTCAGTTGAGGATATCTTCGGAAAACCTGCTTTCCAAGAAGTTGACTGAGGATGCGAACAAGTTCATCGTAGACCAATGACACGCACTTCAGGGATGGCTCCTCCAGCCGGCGGATTTGTTGCTTCACGATCAGCTCGAAAGCGGTGGTGCCAACGAATAGTGCGGGCTGGGAACCGGAGGAGTTGTAAAGGATTGTGCGAATATCAATATCTTTGACCTGATCAAAGGGGTCGATGGCTTTGATACCGTTTGCATAGAGTTCATGGTAGACGAACGAAATACGGGCACCTCCGGAAAGCTCGATGTTGGATAGCTGCGTGCTTTTGCCTTCGAGAACACTTCTGTATTCGTTGGCAAACTCGGTGATTATGTTGAGGATTATGTTGGAGCCATTGTTTCCCAGGAGGTCGCCGGCACCCAGCTGTTCCAACTCTTGCGAGTACTTCTGCAAGGATGTGGCAATTCGCGTCTTGATGTCCGGTAGCGTTTGTTTGATGTGCATCATGAGGATGGTGTTGAGCTTTCGGGCCAGGTAAGGCGTACCGCAGTATGAGGCCTTGTTTCGGTAAGATGGGTGGTTTTCGAAAAATTCCTTCTCTGCTTTCAAAGCCAAATCTATTCGCTTCTTGTTCTCAATATCCCGCTGCCCGCGATTGACAACGGGGACGTAGCCCAGTCTGAGCGGAATAATCCGGCCAGCGAGGATGTCCACAACGTCGGTGCCAGCGTCCATCAGATCGATTTTGGTCAGAACACCAATAGTCCTCTGGCCCTCGGGATCCACTTCACGAGCCAGTTTCAAACCGTCTGAGTTGGCCAGATCAACATTGGCAGCTGTCACCGCCAGGATGATGGCATTGGGCTTCGAGATTTGTTTGAGCACCATTTCTCGAATCTGTCGTTCAATGTCTCGTGGCTGGTCTCCCACAGGGACTTTGGTCAAACCCGGCAAGTCGACCAGCGTCAGGGTGAGAACATTAGGAGAGTATATCCGCAGGTTGATGGGTGCCGGCGAGATGCCCACATTGCGGCCTGCTTTTGCCTCTGTCTCCTTGACAATCTCGTCACGGATTTTGTTGAAATCATAGAACTTCTGGCCGGGGAGATGCAGGAATTCACCCCACTCGTCGACATTTGCTTGACTGTCGGTCGTCTCTTTCATTTCCTTTTCGCTGACGCCATTTGTTTGGAGTTTCTCCGGAGCAGGTCTATTGATAAGTTGCAGAACGAGAGGACGACGGGTGACGATTCCGGAGCCTCGAGGAAGACTAGAAAGGAGATTAATTTCGATGCGTAACAAGGGGAGTCCGGAAGGATTGGCCAAACTTACAAGTCTCTGCCGACAATGTTTTCTAAGACTGAACTCTTCCCGCTTGACTGTGAACCGACGACCACGATCTGTGGCAAGTCTATGGGATTTTGGACCTGCGCGGAGTCGGGTTAGACTCGATCGGATAGGAACGAGGCGACACTAGCGGCCTCTATCATAAGGGGAGACTTACTCCCACCGCAGTGAAGACATCTTGTAACTTGTTGACGAGCGCAATCAAGGCCGGGTCGTTGACGTTAACTCTATCAAGACAGTCAGGTCAGGAGTATTGTGTTGACGATTCGCAGGCACTCACGAATAGGCCCCCGGTTGTGCCGCCATGGCTGGGGCAAAGATTAGCGGGAGGTTATTTGAGAACAACGCGGAGTGCGAGGATCCAGGAGTGCTTTGATCAGGTGTGGAACAGATGAAGTTCAAAGGTTCGTGTGCTGTGGGAAAAGAGAGTTGGTGTTGAGCGGTGGGAGCGATATGCGCAATGCTGGCCAAATCTTGGGACGCGAGCGGCAGCGACAGTGATGCAGCACAAGCACAGGCTCCTGCGCTCAGGCTTGTTTTCGAGGCTCGCGCTGTGGCGCTGCTTGTGGCGTCCCAGACGCTGACCGCACGTGAATCAGCAGAGTCAAAGCCACTAGTACCGCTAGCTTCAGTGCTAACTCTTCCGCTTTGCAGGACAGCCGCCAGCTGGCCGGACTTAGTAGCGCGGCTAGTCGTTTTAGAAGTGTCTGGTGCATGGCGGCCAAAGAGATAGCGCAAGTGTGGCTTGCGTGCCTTCGACATCGACGCTGTGGTTGCTGCCAGTGGTCTGGCTCAAGCCTAAATCTTGGGAGCAGAGACACTGTCTGGTCATGTGTTGTTGAGATATGGTATCATGCGGCGTTTCCCGTTCTGGACGTCCACATGAGTTGGGATGGGCGACAGGCGGGTGGTCAGCGGCGGGAGATGGATGTTGTGGTTGTTACCTGTATTCGGCGAAATACAACTGTACGATATATTCGTCAATAGCTCCACAGACAAGTGAAGTACCGTAGGTAGAATGTGCACGGTGGTCTCTACAGATCAAGACGGATGTTGGAATACTAGTAGTTGAGTGTCATTCAGCAGTCATTGCCAGTACAAAAGTATCTCTAGTCCAGACACCCAGAGTTGCTGCTGCCTCGAACTGCGCATAGTCACCTTCCTCCAGAAAGGATACCATGTTCCCTATAGATAGATAATCATATGCTGATTTCCCCATTCTACTCCTGTCAGGCTTCCCCATTCAATCATGCTGCGCGTGGGAGGACGAACAAAGAACACCTTCAATGCAATGATATACCCAATCGTCTATGCTTGCGCAGTTCGTAATCGCCGTAAGTGTAATGCCCCTTACTCATATCAACTCCCCGGGCGCCACTGGGTCGGGTAAGCCACCACAGATTCTTCCAAGCCTACAAAGTTGACCTTATGGCACTTGTTCGGCTTGGATTCGTCTTGTGGAGCGCGCTTTGGAAACCGTCAACGGGCGACGGGGCGTTCGTCCATCTGCTCGGGTCAGTCTGGATAATCACAACGGAGATCTTGTCCTTACATTCGCACTCTTCGGTCATCGCCGCCTGAAGCAAACATCCCGGAATCTCTCGGATTCCAATCCACAGTTGTCACACATTCTTTGCCGCTTTGACCGGGCCCATGACCAGACAATTTTTCTATCAGAGCTTCGTTCTCCTTATGCCATACGTATATCATGCCATCTAAAGAAGTCAGTCAGTCATGTCTGGATACGGAGGTGCAACCACTAACCTTCAGAACCGCTGACCACGAAGTTCTCGGCAGCTCCCCCAAAGCAGCTTCGGATCACGAATTCGCCCTGTTTCTGGCCGCGGAACTTGTGAACAACCTCTCGTGTCATCAGGTCGATCATGTGAACTTCTCCAATAGCTAAATTCACGAGCACTGTTGTGCCATCGCGACTTAAAGTGATGCTCGTCATCTTGCCCGACATCTTGATGGGCATCTCCTCGCGGTAGGTACGCATGTCAAACACGCGGATGATGTTCTGAGGATCCAGTGTGATCAGCCGGTGTCCGTCGGCCGTCATAGCAACATCCTGCACGCGAAATCCTCGCGGCCACACGTGGACGGGCCGTTCAGGCTCCGGCGCAAGCAAGTTCCAATGACATAGCTGGGAATTACGGTCATGGCTTGCCGTCACGAAACTCATCGAGTCGGGACCCCAAGCGGCAGCAGTGATGCCATAGTTCGAGTCCACGGTTTGATGTTCCAAAGTCACTCTTAACCTGCCTGACTCGACATCAAACACCCGGGCCTTGCAATCTTGTGAACAAGTAATGATCTTCGTGTCGTCGGGGCTCCACGCCACGTACGTGACTTCTCCTCCATGTTGCTTCAGCGTGTGTAGGCATTTGAAGGTCACTGTTTCATAGATATTGACAGTCCGATCTTGACTTGCAGTGGCCAATTTGGATCCATCATGAGAGAATTGGACATGCCAAACCTCGCCTGTATGATCCTCAAGCACAAATGAAGTTCGGGAAGGGAAGTCCTCTCTATCACAAAGATGGTCCGAGTAGAGTGACGGAGGTATGGAGGTGTTATGATACAGACACTGATTGATCTGTGTCTGCTTCACCTGGTCAAACAACTCGGCTAATCTGTGATCGCGAAGCATGACAGATGGCGCAATCGATCGAGACAGGTCTTGCAGAAGCAACCGTCGTGACTCTTCCACAGTACCAGGCCAATGTGCCTTGGCCCGGAGATCCTCGGGAGGACACATGAGTAAAGTCGACAGAGCATGTAGTTGCTGTATGTCATGCCCTAAAGGGGTCAATTCTTGCCTCAACACCATAAGCGCCAAACCCAGATCTCTTCGATCGAGGAGTTCTAGGAACTTCTGTTGCCGGATCCAAAAGAGCATCTGGCCTCTATCCGCCCCTTCTGCCAACACAAGGCCTTCCCCATATTGATCAGCAACGTCATCCGACCCGGTCCTGGACTGATTATGGTGAGATCCCAACAGGATAGCTTCGGCCTCAGACCAGTCCCCTTCCAAGACTGCACTCCTAAACGCAGCTACCGATGGGCTTTCCAATTCATAGCCACTCTCGTCGCCCAAGACGCTCGCAGCGTTGGGGTAGCCCATATCCAGCAGACCCTGCATCAGAATCCTGACTACCTCTTCTCTGTTATGGCCACGGTAGGTTGAGGGCCGAACCGGTGACAGTCTCTTAACCGTCCCATTTCTGATGGTCGGACTGGATCCATTGACATTGCTCGTCGTGTGGCCATTGAGGCCGGTATATAGAGGCTTTCTGGGAGTTGAGCCGTTGGAGCTTGTGGTCTGACCATTGGAGAATGCCTGTCCTGCGTCCTCATTGACTCGCATATTGTGATAATCGATCCGCCTGCGTTTGGTCCTGCGGGTTCCTGCTTGTGACCGAGTCTCACCTGAGGGGCCCGCCGCAATTGGTGTGTTACTTCCTGAACCAGGAGCGTTGTCGGTTGCACTAACAGGAGAGGAAGAGGAACTCCTTCTCCTTCGTCTTCCTCGCCTTTCAGAAGCCTGCACCTGCTCTATAGGTAGGAGGCTTGGGAAGAGATGCTCTGGGGAAACTGGCGGTTGTTCCGTATGCTCGAAAGATGTTGTATTGGGATTCGAATTACTGGGGGTTTGGGAAGAGGAGTCTGTGTAGGAAGGAAGGGATGGGTCTGTCGAAGTGGATGGGTCGTCGGTAGTGATTAGGTCGTGGTTCGTGGGAGGGAGGTTTGCCAGCTCGTTGTGGCGGCAGAGCCGCCCGTGTCAACTTCAAGGCCGAGGAGGAGGATGTCTGAGACCGCTGCTCGTTGTCGCTAGAACAAGATTCTGGTCAATGACAGGGCCGGGTTATGGAGTCGATAACAAGAGCAGACGTGCACACATCCAGTTCTGTCCTTGCACGGGTTGGTAGTCGGGCGAGAGGCAAATGACCGTCACCAGCACGGAGCGAGACAGGCTACGAAATGGTGTGGATTGGCGAGTGAAGGAGGGGCGAATTGGTCAGGTGGGAGGCATATCAACTCTGGTGAAAGCAAGATATTGCAACAATGTATGCTTATGCACAAGGGATTCGGACTTGGAGGTTGTGTCGTGGGAACGATTAGACAATGGTGGTCGTCGTTGGGAGCCAGCCAGAACAAGACCGTCGTTGAGCGTAGGAGGATGATGCCAGCGTCGGAGAACCAAGGTTGACGTCTCCTGCCCGCGGGTTGCAATAGTCCTACTAGCACTCCCTAGCCCCTACCGTTAATAATACTGCTACCACTATGCGGTGTCCGACAGCCTGCTGTACCATGCCAGTGTCCCGTTTATAGCAAGGGTCCCTCGAAAAAGGTCATCTGTCGCTCATGTTATTATATTGGTGACCAGATACCTGGCACAAAGCACTGCTATCATTTGGGTACCTACAGGTGCAGGTATACAGTCATCTGCACCGGGACATGATGGTGCTAGAGGGTCTGCTGACCGGCGAGAAGGACTAAACTCAGCTGCTGCATTCGAGGACAACGTGCTATCTACTAGTTCGCCAACAGCAGCGAAACGATAGGAAACTACGACCTCAAAAGTTCGTACAGTACATAATATCATCAACACTCCCCTATCCCAGTAGGTTAGATAACTGCGCTGGCTTTCGGGTACCTTTCGACCTCGTCGTGGCATCGCACACTGCTCGTATCCCTCACTGTCATTTGGTCTCTACGCCGAGTCTTGAGTTCCTGAACCAATCCGGGGACCAAGGTCCCAAGGCTGGCGAGTCCATACCTAGGTAGCCGTGGAAAGCTATTGGCCGGAGGTGAGCGGCGGCCTGAAGAGCACATGGTACAATCTGTGGACTCTGAGTGCCTGGGTCTAGGTACAATGTTGTACAGCGGAAGAGGACGCTGGGATGGATCAACCGCTAAAGTGCAAGCAGATGCATCGTAGCTATCGCATCGAACACTATTACAGTAGTGGATGGTGGGCTGTTAGAGGAAGCTTGAGCCACCCTGCGCTGGAGCTGCAGTGCAGAGAGTACGGGCAGCGTGGTAGGGCAGCGCAGGCAGACAGATACCTAAGCCAGCGCAGCCTGAGGTGCCACTCTGCTTCTGCCACTTACGTCGTCAAGTTGTCCCGAACCCACCGTGACCTGTGCACTGCCAGTCGCAGCACTGGCAACCGCAACCGCAATCCAGCGCCCAGATTAAACTTCACCCGTGCTTCAAACTCCTGATGATTTCATATGCTTGGATTTGGTCGTCCTCGTCTTAAACACCAAAAGTCCATTGTCGAATTCATCACTGGCAAGAGCATCGAGGACCTCTCCGACCTCAAGTACCTTCACCAACAGCTTGGTCTCCCTAATCTTATCGAGGACGATCTCGAGGGGGAGCTTTCTGGTCCCAGCTTCTCTGACACCTCCGTCTTTGCCTTCCCGCAACCCCTACAGGCTCTCCATTCGACTGCACACACATACAGAAGGATGCCAGCCGCCAAAGAGAGTGGTATCGGCCATGACCACCAGAATGGGACCATTTTCTCCGTTTCTGGCCCGGTCGTGGTCGCGGAGAACATGATCGGTGTAGCTATGTATGAGCTGTGCAAGGTTGGCCATGACGAGCTGGTCGGCGAAGTCATCCGCATCGAGGGCGATAAAGCCACAATTCAAGTGTACGAAGAGACGGGTATGTCATGGTCATCATTCTTCTTGATCTCTGATATACTGACCCTCCTTCAGCCGGTGTTACCGTTGGAGATCCCGTCCTGAGGACTGGCAAACCGCTCTCTGTTGAACTTGGCCCTGGGCTTATGGAAACAATCTACGACGGTATCCAGCGTCCATTGAAGAACATTGCCGATACGACCAAGAGCATCTACATTCCCCGCGGCATTGCTGTCCCTGCCCTCGACCGAGAAAGAAAGTGGCCGTTCACTCCAACCATGAAGGTCGGCGACCATATTAGTGGTGGAGATGTTTGGGGAAAGGTCGTCGAAAATAGTCTTCTGCATGAACATCGAATTCTCATGCCTCCGCGGGCCAGAGGGACCATCAAGAAGATTGCACCCAAAGGAGAATATACAGTCGCTGAGCCATTGCTGACCGTGGAGTTCAATGGCGAGACCAAGGAATATCCCATGATGCAGTCATGGCCAGTTCGAGTACCAAGGCCTGTCAATGAGCGTCTTCAAGCAGATTCTCCCTTCATTGTCGGTCAACGTGTGCTTGACGCCCTCTTCCCTTCTGTCCAAGGAGGCACTGTCTGTATCCCTGGTGCCTTCGGTTGTGGCAAAACTGTGATCTCGCAGTCTGTCTCGAAGTTCTCCAATAGCGACATCATTGTTTATGTTGGGTAGGTCTGAAGTCCTCCCCATCCTCAAGTGATCCATGCTGACTTCAGAAACCGATGTGGGGAGAGGGGGAACGAAATGGCAGAGGTGTTGATGGACTTTCCGGAGCTCTCCATCACTGTCGAAGGCCGAAAAGAGCCAATTATGAAGCGGACTTGCTTGATAGCCAATACTTCGAATATGCCGGTTGCAGCACGGGAGGCCTCCATTTATACCGGAATTACTGTAGCGGAATATTTCCGGGATCAGGGAAAAGCTGTTGCCATGATGGCGGATTCATCTTCTCGATGGGCGGAAGCTCTTCGAGAGATTTCTGGGCGTTTGGGTGAAATGCCTGCAGACCAAGGTTTCCCCGCTTACCTGTCTGCCAAACTGGCGTCCTTTTACGAACGAGCAGGCGCAGCGACTACTCTGGGATCTCCGGAACGCAAGGGTAGCATTTCGATTGTTGGAGCCGTCTCGCCTCCCGGAGGAGATTTCTCGGATCCAGTCACATCAGCCACTCTGGGTATCGTGCAGGTCTTTTGGGGGCTTGACAAGAAATTGGCACAGCGGAAGCACTTCCCCAGCATCAACACGTCGCTGTCGTACAGCAAATACACCAACATTCTGGACAAGTTTTACGCCAAAGACCATCCGGAATTCCCCAAGCTGCGTGACCGCATCAAAGAGCTCCTCTCCAACTCTGAAGACCTTGACCAGGTTGTGCAACTTGTGGGCAAATCTGCATTGGGCGACCCTGACAAGATTGTGCTTGATGTGGCAGCAATGTTGAAGGACGACTTCTTACAACAGAACGGATACAGTGACTATGACCAGTTCTGCCCATTGTGGAAGACCGAATACATGATGAAGGCGTTTATGCAATTTCATGACGAGGCGCAAAAGGCGGTGGCAAGCGGTCTGAACTGGGCCAAGGTGCGAGAAGCCACATCCGACATCCAGCATGGCCTGCGCAGCATGAAGTTCGAACTACCCGACAACCAAGAAGAAGTCTCCGCCAAATATGACAGATTGCTGCAGAGCATGTCGGAGAAGTTTGCGAGTGTGAGCGATGAATAAAGGCGAGCCGTGACAGAATGCAGACAGCATTCCTTCCAGGTGCACAAGCTGCAGATCAGATGAAGGCTATGCAATTGCCATAGCTACTAGTATCAGTATTATTATTATTGAGGATAGGCTTAGTTTCGCCACCTTTGTCGATAGTACTCTTCACGTTCACGCTGTACAATGCATACATGTATGCAGTTGAAACCATGCAGGTTGTCAGCAAAACGGAACATAATTAAGATATGAGACTGGTTGAGTCCCAGCTTACTACTATTAGGCAATCGAGCAATGTTTCTCCCCTCAGTTTTATTCTTGATCACACTCGAAGCCCCTGCCCTGAACACACCATTCCTCAAGCTTGCCCGCGCTAGCCAGCAAGATACTCTTAGGCCCGTCTCTCAGACGCACGATCTCGGCACAAGTGACGGGCTCCTTGAAGACACGATTATTCAACGGACAACGGTCGAGCAATTGACCCGAAGCAGCGGACCAGAGACCGACACGATGATTGTGCAGATTATCAGTCGAGGCACTGAGGACGATATCGAGTTCGGGGTCGTAAGCGAATGCTAAGCCGTACCTGTTTTGTCGTCTTGTTTGGTCGACGTTGAATGTGATTAGAGCATTCGAGGGGGTGTAGATACGTTGGTTGTATTTTGAAGGTTGATAATGGTGATGTTTGTTGTTGTGACGGTGGGTGTGGGTAGTAGGAGGGTTTCTGGTGGGAGCCGAGATGAAACGTAAATCGTAGATTTTCATATCTGTCAATCCGTTGACGAGGACGCGGTTTCCGTCGGGGAGGGGGGCGATGCCACTGATTGCGCTGGAGTGTTGGATTCGTAGAGCTGATGAGGAGGATGACGACGAGGTGGAGGTTGAGGAGGATGTTTGTTGGGTGTTTGTTCGACTATCGCACAAAACTAACCTCCCTGCTCTCGACCCAGCCATTAAAACATTGGGATCTTTGAACGCGACTTTCATCTGTTCGCCGCGCACGGGTGTTTGGGTGACGTGTTGTGCGTATTCGAGATCGGTCATTACGGAGACGCCGGAGCTGGTTGCTATGGCGAGACAGTTGGGTGAGATGTTGGGAGAGGCGGTGGGAGGAGTAGCGAGATCCAATATCCGCGCTTGGAAACGTAGTTTTACTACCATGTCGAGACCGATGGCGCGAGAGCCGGGGTCGGAAGAGGAGGCGGATGAGTAGTGCGATAGGATTAGGTCGGATTGAGGGAACCGGTAAGAATTCGCATAGTAGTTTTCTTCTGATTCAAGTTCTGGATCCAATTGGGTCATGTCCGGATCGAGAATGGCAGTGGGATCCTGGGCAAGTTGTGGTGGACTCTGTGGTGTCTCGTGTGTCCAGCATACGAGTCGTGGACCGATCCATTTCAAACAGTCGATTTTGGGGGCGCTCTGTAAGATCCGTCGGTTGTGGGGGGAATATAAGTGGCCTTGAGTACTGGGTTGTTCGGGGCCGAATGTCATGGGCCAGCTTTGTGGGTGTTGTTGAGCTTCATTGTCATCGTCATCATCATCATCAGAGTCGTTATTGTGGTTGTCGTTGGTATCGTAAAAATGGTAATCTCGCACGACAGAAGAAGTACTGTTCTGTTGGTGTTGCTGTGGTGGTCGATCGAATGCAAGCAAAAGAGATAAGGTCCGCTCACCAGCCGCTCGATACGTCTGGGCCGTGAGCAACGACCCAGAATATTCGGCAACGGCAAACTGTTCCGCCAGTCCTGAGGGAGCGTATTCATGTCCCAAAATCCGGGGCATGGTGACGGGCCGGCTGAAGGCGTCTGCTCCGGACAGACTGGCGGCGTAGTACTCTCGTACATAGGTCCTGGCGCTGGTGCGTAAGTTGCCTAGTCGCCGATCGAATGACAGTAATGGTGTCTGCGAGACTTTGGACCGCGTCACCGTCGAGGCATGTTTGCTGCGGCGAGCGGCTTCTTTTTGGTGCTGGGTCCGCTTGATCACTTTGGCGGCGTTGACTGCTTGGCGACTGTAGTTGGATCCGGAGGGTGCGATGTGGTTCGCTTGGATCTTGTAGTATCGGTTTGTAGCGGGATCAAAGTGGTATCCTGGTAGGTCGGCGGGCATGATTGAAAATTGGATATCGGCCCGGACTGGCTGGGGCCCGGACAACTAAACACAGTTCGTCCAAAGAGAAAAATTGGTAACTGAGATTCTGGACAATCAAGGCCCCGCCCTGGGTAGTGGTCAAAGTGCAGAAAAAGCCAGTCGGTTGGTCGAAGTGTGAGTTCTCGAAAGGATTTGATATCGACCTCTGCTCTCGCACGGAAGTGGTGGTATTGACGCCAAAAAGTTCCAATCAAACATAATGAGACATGACATTCATTCAGACAAGTCTGTGGTGTGAAATGTGACTGATGTTACCAGAGTCAACTCGTCCTTCTCGAGGAGTCGTAGATCTACAGTTGAAACGAGTTTATAGTGGCAACTTGAAGTCGAGGGCTTCGGACTTTGAATTGAAGTCACTGGCACGGCTATACCCAAAAAGGAACAGCGCAGCCTGATCGACTACTTTCGAGTTCGGTATACAATGTTGTACACTATTGCGGAGGGAGAAAATGGAGTACGAGAATGCTCTCAAGCTTCTGATAAATAATACCAATACATTTGGTACAGTTCCAAAATCGTTGCATGTCATAATTCATGATCAACCTCATATTCACAGATGCTCATCCCCCAAACCTTACCCATATCAACCACCCAGTCCCTACTGACGTTTATCCGCCATCTCTCTTCACTGGGATCGTCAGCACCTCCAGTTGATGTACCAGCACCACCCAGGGCGTCCGCAGCTCCTCCAAAACCCGCCCCGGAGGCACGGACCACAAGCCTCAATCTCTCCAGCTCCCCCAGTTCCCGGTAGACACGATCACAAACACCCTTGCCAGGACGGTTAGGGATGCCATGCGGATGGACCGCTCGTAGAATGGCGACGAGGCGTTCGAGTGTGAACGGTCGGGAAACACCAAGACCCGCGCTGGCCGCCAACAGCGATTTCGTTCGAGACCTGCGGGGCGACTTGGTCTCGGCGGCATCCTTTTTCGACGGCGTGCCGGTCGGGGTCGACGCCGACGCACTTTTCCTTCTCGTTGGCGTTCCCTTCAGTCTTCGTATCTTTCTGCTCACTGTCACCGAGCTAGAGCTTAGACGAGAAAACAGAAGAATGTCGTGCTTGGGAGGCGTATAACTGGCAAGATAGGAAGATATCAAGACTAGTGTCGAGAAATGTTTCAGTAGAGGTGGCCGCATTGATACTGTCGTCATGTCTCGGCCATCATTAGAAAGCAAGGTCTTCTTCGATGGAGTGCTCGGTGCATCCTGGTGTGATAGTAGTGACTTTGTATCCGACAGTGTCTCCCGCCGCAGAGCAGACAGAGGGAGAGTGTGATGCAACGCCTTCTCGCCCTCGGATTGAAACAATGCACGATTTTGCACGATCAACTTTGCAAAGTCCCATGAACCCCCGCGACCAGCGGCAGGAGGCTCTTGACCTGAGGTCAAAGGCAAGATAAACCTCGGCCAGAGCTTGTGGCAAGTCGTGCGAAACCTTTGAATTGAGGTGGATGATGTTGGGGAGATGAGCGAGTCGTACACCGTCACGGCGAATTGGGCATATATTGTGGTGAGGGCGTCTTTGTCTATTTCGACTGTGTCATTGGGCAGAGGAGGCAGACCCTCAGACGTGACGATATTGACCGCCTCATTGCGCGTGTAGGGAGGAAAATGGACATATGGAATTCCCGTTCTGTGTAATATCAGAGGTCGCGGAGAACTGGATGTCATTATGACCGAAAACCCAGGAATCTGTCAACCAAGTCAACCATGTCATCCCATTCAGTAGTATGGATATGCCACGTACCTGGTCTCCCAAACGCGCAAGAGCGGGCAGTAACATGGTGCCAGCCTGTTTCAGCCGGTCGATGTCTTCTATCACCACCACGAACCTCCTGCCGCAGGTGTCCCGGGAGATTTTTCTCATATTCTCAAGCAAGGCATTGAGACTGTCCACCCTTACATACCGCCCGAGTTGTGACTCAAGTCCAAAAGCTTCGATCACTTCTGCAAAGATCTTGGAAAGGAGGTGTCTCGGCGACAGACATTCTCGACTTCGTATGACGGCATATTGGTATTCCCTCTTTTCCAAGACACTGGTTATAACGTTTGTCTTGTTGCTGTTTTCGAGGCCATAGGCCACCAAGACCGCGGGGCTAGGAAAAACGCCCTGTTCGACGTCAGGTGAATGATCGCATTGCATTGGGAAGATCGGATCGGCTCACATTGAAGTACGTCGCCAATTGTAGGATTTGCGCCTCCCGACATGGACAATGCTGCGAGATTGACTGCACCAGCTCGCGGGGAAGCAATACCGGCATTATGTACGTCGGCGATCCCAGCGTTGCTGAAGGATATCAATCATGGAAGTTGTTGCGCTGAATCTGCCGGCTTTTGCTGGTATGTAATGTCAAGATGCGGCGCAGGAGTCGATAGTCAATTAACGCGTCGTGGTCCGAATCGCGTCTCCTCACGACTTCAATAAATAACAATTAATCCGCATCGACATTGGACAGCACTGCCAGTGTGTTGTACTTGGTTGTTCCCAGTTCATCTACGTCGTTATCAGCACGACTACAAGTCTGGACTCCGATGTAGCTCTACGACAGACCAAGAATTTTCTAAAATACAATTTTCTACCTCTGGCGTTCTATCTCTCGTGAGTGCTGGTACAGGCACCGTCACCCTGGATGCAGTGAGCCTAGCCAAGACGGTGACCTCAATTGCTAAGTACATAACCAAGGCTTTGCAGTAACAATAGCCAGTCGGATCTCATATGAGTGACCTCATTCTTGTCGTGGAAAGACTCGCCAGCTCACATACGAAAAAAGACTTGAAAAAAGGGAAATTGTCGCGCAAGTCGTCAGCATGCTAGTTCTCGATGTTTTGCAAAGCCCCCGAGCTTTGGTACAATGTCCAATGTCCTGCCAGACTGGTGCTGGGCCAATGGTATCCAGAGAGCATAATACATGGTCGGGCCGTGAATTTGCGGGGTCGTCATGTTTTTGGTGTCGCTTTTGATTTGATTGATACAGTCGTGAAAAACGCAGGAGTCATGGGTGCAGTGAGCATCTCGCTCTGCTCTACGGATGCATGGGTGGAAAGAAAAAGAAAGTCGAGGATTCATCATGTCATGACTCATAATCGTATCGTGAGCCGCATCCCAGGTATCATGCCAGTGTCTCAGAGGACATTGTTGGAACCACCAACTGCCCCGTTCATGAAGCTAGGATAGCCGGCCTGTCCGATTTCGTTGGCGTAATTGCGAGCATTGTACATGTTGGTGTTCGAGTCGTGACCTGGCATCATGTTGTAGGCGTTGCCATTAGAAGTCATGTTCTCGTTGGTCATGTCGTTTGCTCCGTAGGCATTGGCAGTTCGCATGGTATTGAAGCCACCACCAACAATCTGGACATTGCGACGATTGTTGGCGCGACCAGCATTGAAACTGGCCAGGATATTGTCGTTGGCGGCAGGTGCGGAACGCGGGGCTTCGTTACCAAGAATCTTGCCGGCAATGCGACGTCCATGGGGAGTCTGCTTGATCATTGGCAGGATAGGACGAACAGCATCGACCAGACGCATCTTGGTTTGGGGATCCGCAAACTCCAAAGCAGTCTGGACAACGTAGTTTGCAAACGCGTCGCGAAGCATCTTTTCGAGCTCGTTGCCAATGAGCATCTCCTCAATCATGCGACGCTTGGTGTCGCTGTCAGCGGTACGCAGGCATTTCTCAATGACATTGGAGCTGAACTTCTGCTTCGACAACTGCGGAATCCTACCCAGGAAACTCTCGCACAGTGGTTTGGTGAAGGAGATTTCGTCCAGATCGAGAATGTACTGAACGACGTAATTACCAAATGGGTCCTGAACCAAGTCAAAGGCACAGTGAGTGATTCTCGCAATGAGCTGAGCACGCTGGAATCCCTGAGCATGGTCGATGCAGCGTTGAAGAACACAACAGCCATGGCGATGGGTACCGACCACCACACAGTACTTGCCAACTGCGTCATAGATGAACTGCGAGCGCTCAGCACCAAGGCGGGTAAGACACTTCTGGACAACGTGGTTGCCGTTGAGATCTTGAACGAGATCGACGACACGATCAGACAAGGCGCGAATGATGGTCTCAACTTGTTCCTCGGTACGAACAAATTCGATCATCTTCTGCAGAGCACGGGTACCATGTTGATTCAAGGCAATGGTGGTCAACGCCGGAGCTGCAGTGTTGATGAGTGCAGTGCGCTGTTCTTCGGTGCAGAATTCGAAGAGCTTCTGGCAGAGATAGTTGCCGAAGGGGTCGGTCATCAGCTCAATGATGTGGGGGCATGTCTCGGCAAAGATCGCTTGAATGTGTTCCTCGTTGCCGTCCTCGAGCTTGCGCTGAAGGTAGCGACAGCCGTGCTGATCCTTGCAAAGCTCATACAACGAGCCGCGATAATTCTCAAGTGGCATATTGGCGAAGCGAGCTTCGTCGCCATGGTTGCGACGACCGCCGATCGGTGCACGTGTACCTGGGGCAGTGATACCGTTGCCAATTCCCAGGATCACTGCTCCCTGGCCATAGCCTGGAGTCGCGTTGCCCATACCCGGCTGTGGGTTCATCTGGCTGACATTGAAGGTCTGCATGTTGTATTGGTACTGCTGGGGTGGTGGGTAGTTGGCAGTTGGGCCGGAAGGACCGGTCATGTTGGACTCGGTTGTGACGACAGCTGTGTTGAAGGGTGCAACGCTGGCATGCAGACCCGGGAGAGTGGCAGCAGACATGTTAGACATGTTAGACTTGTCGTCGATCTTGGCAGATCCGTTGGTCAGCTCGCGGCTTTGACGGTTGTTCATTGCGCCGGCAGGGACACGGCCGAGACTGACGTTGTGGTTATGAAATTGTTGATCAGTTTGCATTTTGGATGGTGTCGCAGCCGACTCCAGATTGAGTGACTTTCTGACAGTGGGAACGTCGTTAGTCGAGTACGAGGTTTGCAGGGACGCTGGGCGAGAGACAGGAAGAGACGATGGCAAAGGCGCGTTCTCCTCGAAAGTGACTCCCATAGAATGACGCTGCGACTTGCGACGAGACAGATCAGCAGGGCGATCGGCTGCTGGACTGTTGACACTGAGGTTGCTCAGAACAGGTCGGTACATAGACGAATCGGTGTGTGGCATGCTCTGGTGAGCTGGCTTGTAGCGCGATCCGAGAGTCCAGTCCACGTCTGGAGTCTTTGAATTGGCGAGGTCCAGGGCAGCCGAGTTGGCAGAAAGCTGAGAAAGTCCAGTTAGCGAGTGTTCGAGACACTGCTAGAGGAGTGAGTTAAAGTACATACCTTGAGGCCGTCACTCGTCAGAGTAGGAAAGGTATCGTCACCCTCGAGTTGCGCAAATGCCTTGGCAACTGGAGACTTCAAGTCGATAGCGTTGAGAGACAAGTGTTTGTCCTCGTCTTCATCAAAGAGGAAGCTGGTGGTGTTTGCTAGGCCAAATGCATTACCTGAGGTTGCTCCGCTTACACTGAGACGTTGAGGATGACGAGAACTATTGACTGGCATAGAAAAGCGATTGAAACTGAGGATAAGAGAGTCAGAAGTGCGCCAAGGAAGAATAAGGTGGTAGCAGATGAATGAGGTGCGTTGAGAACAGGGTGATAGCAGATAACTGAGGTGCGTTGAGGCGTGCACAAGAATACGAAGCGTGCGTGGAGCACAACAAGCAGTGACTAGCCCCTGAGGTGAAGGTCACGTGAAAAGAGACTCATCACGTGATGATACGAAAGTGAAATTCATCACGTGACTTGGGCCAGTTTTAAAGACAATGTACAGGGAAAGAATCAATCAATGACAACCTAGAAAGGGACTTACGATGCAGCACCCCGTGTGGGAGGCATATCCTCCGGATAGTACTCGTCCTCGTCAGATCCACGACGAGAGCCTGGGACTGACTTGGCCGAAGGCTTCTCGGACTGACTGTAGAGTCCGTTTCCGGAAAGACGGTTGGCAGGTGGAGAGGTGATCTGAGAACTGGACTGGGAAAAGCGTTTGCTTAGACCGGGCGGTGACATGATGCTGTTCATGGACAGACGACTGGAGCGGGAAAACCGATTACTGAGTCCACTATCGGCATATTCAGGAGGAGTCGTGGGTTCGCTGACCGGCCCATTCAAGCTGATTCGATTCAGGCGGGTCGAAATACGCTCGAGGTCTTGAGAACTTGCCCCCATCTGTAGGGTTCGTTCTTGCAACTCGAGAAGACGCAATTGCTCCTCAGCCTTGCGTTTCGCACTTTGGATGTCTTCGTAGATCTGCTTGTTCTTCGCCTGGGGCAGACGAGTGTTAGCCTCTATGTTGGCTCCGGGAGTTTGTGAAACGCGAGGGCTGGGTCTCCTGTGGAAAGATGCGAAACAAATGTGGTAGAGATATGGAGAGGACAGGGGCATTGGGCTGGGCGATATTTGCAGTGACCAAGGTCTGGATTCCATTCCTCGCTGCTCCGACTCGACAATGGGCCGAAGTATCACCAATAACTGTCCACTTCTTGTCGCGAGCAATTGTCACCTACCACGTTCGGGGTTATAGCAGCATATTGTTGTCCATATGGCCGCCCCACAGGCATCTTACTCGAATCGGTCGTAAAGCGACGCTGGAGGCTCGCACGCGCATCACCGGACGAGGTATGTATGTTCGAGAAAAAGGGTTTTTGCTCTCTTATTGAGGACCCGTTTGGACTCAGCGGTCCTTCTATGTCCGGGGACCTCAAGCTGGGGAAGCGTAGCTCTTCCAGGCGGCCACTGAGGGTATTCGAGTAAGCCATATCGACGGTCTGCACTGAGAGCCCAGCGTCAGCAGGTTTCCGGTCCAGAGCTAGAAGCATTGCATTGGAAAGCATCTGAATGGGACAGGCTGAGACTGGCAGTCATCCCAGGGGAGACGGTCCTCCAATCCGACACCAGAGGCCTCGTTGGGCAGATGCGAGGGGGAATGCTCGGTTTGCTGGTCCTGAAGGGACATACCGGTAGCGGTTGCAGTGATGTAGTTATTTCCTCATATGATGTCCACCTTCGTCCACTGCGACGCCGTCCACGAGGACTATGTACTTGGAAGGAACGCTGTAAGCAGTCGCGGAGAATGGGGGGGTTGTGGTCAGGCGGCCACGACGAGCGACAGAGAACAGCAGCAAATCGCTGCGTGCGTGCTGGAAAGCAGCACGACAGCCGAAATATGCTATAACGACCGTGATCCGAAACAACAAAATGGCACGAAAAGGAACAGAAAGAAATAATGTTACAAGGAGTTGTTGAGATACTGCAGGAGGAGAGTGGACGGCTCGACCCTGGAGACGAGGTGTAGCATTTGGAGGCTAGACAACACTCGACAGGTCGAGCAAGCCGGCCGGAGCAACACTGCAGTGGAGGCTGCCTCCCTGTACAGCACAGCGCACTGCAGGGCAGGACAGGGCAGGGCAGTCTGCCACTGCAGTGTCTCTGCCCTCCGAGTCTGAGGGGGGATTTTCAGGGCGGTCGCTTTGAGGCAAGCGCCAGAAGCCAGCGTGGATCTCAGGCCCAGAGCCCAGACGAGGTGGTTTACGAGTTGAACCATGCAGGAGGCCAGCGTGGGTGCACTATGGCTGGGGGCTCTACCCGTGTGCCACTCACAGCCCGCCAGCTGAAAGACTGGGGGCGCTTCGGGCCCCATTCAGGCACTAGGCCCCTCCCTTTGCCTAGCCAGTTGGGCTAACCATCCAACTAAACCACCTGCAGGCAGGACTCGCCAGTCGAGGGGCATACTATCCCTCGACAGACGAACAGGGGTAGGGTGTCGAGGGCCAGCCTCGAGCGGCAGACGGTGACAACCACGAGCACGAAGATCGGGTTCGAAGCGGGACGTCCACCGCTGCATGAAATGAGCATCTGCTGCAGCGACTGCACCACTTCACGCGCGCCTGTCGTTGAATAGATATACTGTATAGATTGTAGATATAGGTACAGAGACACAATGGAGACAATATCCCAGCAATATGGGCACTTGAACACAGCTGCAACCTGAGGAAGCTTCACGCGGACACGATACAAGCCTTTAGCGTAACGAAGAGTTGAACTTGCCAGCGATTTTTAAGTAGTGGCTGGAGAAAGCAGCTGTAGTGGGCTGGCATTGACACCCCTCCTGTGGACTGATGGTCATGACAACCAGCAAGTCAACCCCTTGACCATAAAGGCCCAATGTGACAACAGAGCGAAGGCGAAGTAAATATGAAGAGGTCGCCTCCTCGGAGTCCCTGAAGACTTTTGACATGTCGACGTTTCGGAGCCGCCTATCAACGTCTGCAGCACAAGAACGAGTGTGGAAGCGGCGGCCACATCGTCATTCAGGCTGATGGCACCGATAGATATACTAGTACAGTGCAGTACAGCTGTAGAACGAACATTGCAGTGCGCATCGCGACCGTCAGTCTGTCGATGCCGATGGGTTTGATCTCGACCCATCGAACCAGCGCCTGGTGAGACGAATGTCTCTTCAATCTTGCAGGATGTGGGGAATAGTGAAGTTGGCTTCGATGGCGTCTCTCAAGTCCCCAATCCCAGCCAAAGCCGCAGCCACTGGACGAAAAGGCGGTCAGGATGGCTGAGGAGCAGGGAAATAAGGGGCCCGCTCTGGGAGTTTTCAAACGAGTGAGGACCGTATACTGTATATCACGTATATCACTCCAGGGCTATTATTTTATTGATTATTATGTGAAGCGTGGGTGACAGGAGAGCAGTTCCGACCATGGTTATCGCGAAAGCGAATGTCCCGATCCTCAGCATGATGGATATGCGCATTTTCAGCGACTCCTGCACCTTGAGAAACGGCGTTTGTGGCGTGAACGATGGACGAGGACTCCCTGGCCTTTGACTCCATTATTGTGCTCGCGCATCTGCATGGCGCAATCCAATCCGGAGTCCCCTCTACCGGAAGGAATGCTCGCCACTGTCCTGCTGGGGTCCGCGAGACATGAACCACGGGTCCTGTCATCCATTATCAACTCCCACGCTACCATTGACAATAATGGCACCCGAGACGGACAGACACATGAGCACATGGTGGACAGGCGGTGCGCCTCTGCTGGAGAGATACCATCATTATTATTATCCCGATACGAGTGCAAGAACTCGTGATCTCGTACTAGTAGTCTACAGACGATCATTAATGAGCTGACATCAAAGAGCCTTCAATTGTGTGTGGTGCCATCCTGGTCATCCTTGTCCATTCACGGCTGTTCGAAGCATACCAGGTTTCTTTATTACTGGTGCCGAGGAGCGGCATCAGGCACCGACTTGCTGCGCGATGATGTCGCTCTTTTCGATCCTGCATTTCAGCCCTTGCGTCTTGTCTGTCGTCTCTCGACGGTTCACAGCCGGCGCCACGTTCAGAAGAACAGCACCTCCCCCGTCGCCACCGGGACCAAGATATGGGAAAGCCTTTTATGCTCCCTGTACATTGTAGACTGCGCCCCGCAACCCAAAGATACCTAGCACCTTCGCTGTAAGGATATACGGCACCTACGATGTTCGCCCGAGAAACAAGGCTCTTCTAGCTGAGGCTTGAGGTTGTAAGTCTGGGGTCCCAAGCTGCTCTCGGGATAGACGGGAGGTTACACTCTGCGCCGGCGGCAGTGTTGCAGCCCCCTGCATGGGGATCTGTCGAGCCCACGCCCACCGGACAGAACTTGCCGTCACCGAGCTGCAAGGAGTCCGATGGCAAGCTTTCTGACCTCAACCTCGCTCGGTAAATGCACTTGGTCAGCGCTGTTGTGCGACGTATCCCCCTCGCTGTAAGGCCGCTTCGGGCAAAGATGTTTCAGCATCTCCGGGACTGCCTATTCGTCTTGTGTGCCATGGACATTATTACATGCCAGTGTTACCCGTTACCCGACGAGACGGGAGACACCGACCATGCGTCGCCTGCTACATGCCACTTCAGCTTCGAGCGAAGGCCGTTACAATACTAGTACTGTAGGCCTCACGGTTGCATACCGATGTTTGGTTATTGCCTGCCACCAGGCACCACTGCACTGAATTTGACGGCCGAGGCCACCGTAGGTGAAGGCCACTTAGAGCAAATGACTAATCAAGGTTCGCTTATTCGCTTAACCTCCCTTGCCAGTTTCTTGCGGCAAGGCTGGCCTCACCGCCTGCCCAAACAATCCCGCAGCAGGCGGCGACAGAAGCGGCAGAATTTTTCTGGCCCGCAGCCTGGCTGTACGATTGTAGATTTGCGTTGCCCACCGCGCTGTGGCTACGAGTTTGGCCTCAAATGCGCAAATACTTTCTTCGTCCTTTGTATGGCACTGTGGCAACGAACTCTGCTCAGCAAGTGAGCAGTCTAGTTCTTTGACACAAGCTGCTCTCTATATCCCGCGAATCCCAAATGCCGCCGAAAAGAAAGGCCGACGGCGCCGCCGCCGCATCGCAACAGACATCTCGCAACCCGGTACCAAAGGTACGTTGAAAAGCCCGGTCACAGAATCAAGGCATGTAGGGCGTTTTGACTGATGTTTTGAAGGCTGTTCCTCGCAGGGCTGCTCCGCCTGCTGTCACATCCACCACGGGAGAAATACATTCACACGGTCGGAGCGGGAAGGACGAGTCGAAATCCGAAAAACATAGCTGCAAGCCATACCACCATGCTGACAGCTTTGATGCTGCGTTGGAACCCTTTTATTACGACAAATCCTTGACGGACCCTATCGATACCGCTCGGGACAAATGGAATCTACTGCCTGCTTTTCTGAAGGTGAAAGGATTGGTCAAGCAACATATCGACTCCTTCAACCACTTTGTCGAAGTTGAACTGAAGAAAATCATCGACGCGGAGCCCGTCATTACCAGCGATATTGATCCGGACTTTTACATCAAGTATGAAAATATCTATGTTGGAAAGCCGCGCAGATATGACGAGCATATGGGCGACCTCAGAGATTCGAAGGACGAATCTACAGTCACACCAAACGAGTGTCGATTGCGGGACATGACATATGCGGCTCCGATTCTCGTCGATATTCGGTATACAAAGTCCAAGGTCGCCTACCGGCGTAAAGGCATGCCAATCGGGCGCCTGCCAATCATGCTCAGGAGTTCGCGATGTGTTCTTGCAAATAAATCAGAAGCCGAAATGTGTGCAATGGACGAGTGCCCTCTTGACCCCGGTGGTTATTTTATCGTCAACGGAACCGAGAAGGTTATTCTCGTACAGGAACAACTCAGCAAGAATCGAATCATTGTCGAAGCCGATCCAAAAAAGGAACTCATTACCGCCTCAGTTACCAGCTCCACCCATGCAAGAAAGTCGAAGAGTTACATCGTCCTCAAGAAAGACATGTTATACATGCGCCATAACATCTTGAACGAAGACGTGCCCATCTGTGTCCTGTTGAAAGCAATGGGCGTCACTTCGGACATGGACATGATGGCTATCGTGGCTGGGACAGACAGTACTCTTCAAGATGATTTTGCAATCAATTTTGAAGAAACCATCAAACTTGGCATCCACACACAACAACAGGCGCTCGACTACCTTGGAGCGCGTATCAAGATTACACGGAAACCAACGCCATTCGGGCAATCGCGACGAAACTACGTCCAGGAGGCCCTGGAGGCTGTCAGCAACGTTTTCATTGCCCATGTCCCCATTGAAAATCTCAACTTCAGACCGAAAGCCATCTATGTTGCGCACATGGCTCGTCGAGTCTTGATGGCGAAGCAAAACCCTGCACTCGTGGATGACAGAGATTACGTCGGTAACAAACGTTTGGAACTGGCTGGCCAGCTGTTGTCTTTACTTTTTGAAGATCTGTTCAAGAAATACAATTACGACATTAAAATGAATATGGACAAGGTTTTGCGAAAACCAAACAGGACCGAAATGGCCGATCCATGTACCGTGATGATGGGCCACGCAAACCACATCACCCAGGGGATGAACAGGGCGATAGCCACAGGCAACTGGAACCTGAAGCGGTTCAGGATGGACAGAGCCGGTGTCACCCATCTGCTCAGCAGGTTGAGCTTTATCGCTTCCCTTGGTATGATGACCCGAATATCGAGTCAATTCGAAAAGACTCGAAAGGTGAGCGGTCCTAGAGCGCTGCAACCATCGTCCTTTGGAATGCTCTGTCCTGCCGATACCCCTGAGGGTGAAGCTTGTGGTCTTGTCAAGAATCTTGCACTCATGACTCATATTACAACCGATGACGAAGAAGCTCCAATTAAGCGTCTCATCTTCATGCTTGGTGCTGAAGATATCGTGACTGTGGGCGGTACCGAGCTCTATGCTCCTGGCTCCTATCTTGTTCTTTTAAACGGTACTCCAGTCGCAACCACCCGGCAACCCTCACACTTTCTCACATCATTCCGACGTTTACGCAGATCCGGCCGCGTTTCCGAATTCGTATCTACCTTCATTAATCACCACCACCGTACAATCAATGTGGCAACCGATGAAGGACGCATTTGTCGGCCACTTATCATTGTGGAAGACAAGAAGTCGAAGGTCACTAAGCGATACCTCAAATCACTTCGACAGGGATCGATGGATTTTGACGACTTTTTGGCGCGTGGCCTGGTCGAATACCTGGACGTCAATGAAGAAAACGACAGCAATATTGCCCTGTATGAATCTGATATCAACGCATCCACGACACACTTGGAGATCGAGCCCTTCACTGTCCTCGGCGCCGTAGCCGGGCTAATCCCATATCCGCACCACAACCAGTCTCCGCGAAATACATACCAGTGTGCAATGGGTAAGCAAGCCATTGGATTCATCGCCAACAACCAATTCTTGCGGATTGATACGCTGCTTTACCTCATGGTATACCCTCAAAAACCCCTTTGCAAGACAAGAACCATCGAACTAGTCAAATACGACAAGCTTCCTGCCGGACAAAACGCCACAGTGGCCGTGATGTCTTACAGTGGGTACGATATCGAAGATGCCCTGGTGCTCAACAAGGCGTCAGTGGACCGTGGATTTGGTCGCTGTCAGGTTCTGAGAAAGTATCCCGTGAGTCTCAAACTGTATGCAAACGGCACCAAAGATACCGTGGAAGGACCGACCATGGAAAATGGAGTCCCGGTCAAAGCGCACGCGTTGCTCGATGAAGACGGCATTGCATCAGTAGGCGCCAAAGTCAGCCAAGGCGAGGTGTACGTCAACAAATATGTACCGGAAAATGCCAACTCTTCTGGTCTATCAGATACGGCGTCCAACAGTCTGGGAACGTCTTTAATGCCACAGGCGCAGAAATATCGGCTTCCGGACCCGAGCTATATCGACAAAGTGATGGTGTCCGAGGTCGAATCCGGCAACCAGCTCATCAAGATTCAGACACGACAGACTCGAGTTCCCGAGGTGGGGGACAAATTCTCGTCTCGTCACGGACAGAAAGGTGTGGTTGGAATCATTGCGGAGCAAGTGGACATGCCGTTCTCGGACCGCGGCATCACCCCGGACATTATCATGAATCCGCATGGTTTCCCCTCGCGAATGACGGTTGGCAAGATGCTGGAGCTTGTTGCTGGCAAAGCCGGTATCTTGAAGGGCAAGTTCGAATATGGCACCGCATTCGGCGGCAGCAAGCTCGCAGATTTGTCCAAGGCCCTCATCGAGGCAGGTTATAGCTATGATGGCAAGGACTATCTCACTTCCGGTATCACCGGCGAGCCGCTCCCGGCATACGTCTTTATGGGTCCCATCTACTACCAGAAACTCAAGCACATGGTGCAAGATAAAATGCACAGCCGGTCCCGAGGTCCACGAGCCATCCTCACCCGCCAGCCCACAGAAGGTCGATCCAGGGATGGTGGTCTGCGTCTCGGAGAAATGGAACGTGATTGTCTCATTGCATATGGCGCGTCACAATTACTCAGGGAGCGTCTCATGCTGTCCAGTGACAAGCATGAGGTCGATGTCTGCGAATCTTGTGGCTTTATGGCCTTTGGTCGCTGGTGCCAACGCTGCGCCACTGCTGGCGAATCTGGTTCCAATGTTGTCAGGATGACTCTCCCTTATGCTTTCAAGCTCCTGCTTAATGAGTTGGGGTCCATGAATGTCAACACGAGGTTGATCGTGTCGGATGAGTTCCCTGCCGATGGCTCTAGAAGAGCTTGATCGTGGTGAATCACGGGATGCATTTGCAATCAAGAAGTTCAATAATCCCATGGGATGGCATATGTTAAGCTCTTGCTTGCAGCGTTGATCTAAGCAGAGAGCATCAGTTGCTTGATTTTTTTTTTTTTTTCCCTTTCCCTTCCTTTTCGTGCCAGACCGAGGAGGCAAGGAGACAAAATGAGAGATGTGCTACATATTGAGACGGAAGGGATGGAGACGGTGTGACTATTCGAGAGCATGACATGGAGAATGAACTGGATGACTTTGATCAGCATAGCATAGCATAGCATGGAATGGGGATTATGGCATAAGCAAGAATAGCAATGGATAGCGACACTATTCAATGGAAAAATGAATCTGAATCCTGAAATGATGCCTAGGTTCTTCAAACGGAGCCAAGTCACGTATTTTTATCCTATCGATCTGGTCGCTCCGTAGAGAAGTAGAAATTTACAACTCTTTAATGTCTATCTCAAACTCGGCTCGAGCGCGCAATCATTTTACAGGAAAGAGTAAATTTAAGGTGTACAACATACATTCGAATAACAAGACAAACGGACAACTAAATAGACAGACAGGCAAAAATGTGTTCCTTTTCCCTCTGTTTTCTTGCTTTCTTTCTTCTCCCTAGCAAGCGTGCAGCAGGTCGTGCGACGATCCGTCAACCGACTCACGCTGCCTAAACAGCCGGCAAGAACGCAAGGAGGCATGCAGGCGGGCGCGCAGAGTGGTTTGCATTTTACTTTTCCTCTGCTGCTCGAGGAAACTCCCCATCAGCATCACCACCACCACCACCAGCCCCGGCATCTCCCACCCAAGGTATTCCATGGCATCCATCCCAAATGCATCGAACAACGTCCCAAAGATAGCCCAGAAGACATTCCA